TTTGGTCTTGCTATGTCTACTTGGGAAGAAAGTTATCTTCACATACATTATTCATTTGTTTGCTTTAATGCACAGAAATGAAAAAAAAAGTGCTATACATGTGAAATACTCCATTTTAAACACAATATTAATCATATAGTAATAGTGATCAGTCTTTCCATTGTGTCAGTAGAGATGTCAGTTGATGAGCAGAGTCAACATAGATAAAATCATAAAGTTGGAAGTGAGCTTATATATCATCTATTTGCCGCATCTATTAGAAAAACTCTGGCAGTTGAGCATCCAGAAACTCATTGAAGACTTCTAGGGAAGAAGTCACCATACCATGTAAGCCTGTTATGCATACACATACAGTCTGGAATTTTCTTCTCATGTGTACCTAAACCTCCATCCTCACAGTTTTAATGCATTGGTTGTAATGCTATCTTCTGGCTAATAGAGAATTGGTTCCCTCCCTATTCTGTCTGAAAGTTCTTAATCAGGACACATAATAGAACAAACCTCTCATATGATCTGGGCTCTGCTAATGCATCTCAAGATAGCTTTCTTTTTGAATCTGGATCCAACTGATGGTTCATATTTAATTTATAGTGAACAAGATGCCAGGTCACTTTGGAATAGCAGAGTTGGAAAGACCTTGAAAGTTTTCTAATCCAACTCTTTCTCAAACAGGAGACCCTATACCCGTGATGGCGAACCTATGGCACACATGCCACAGGTGGCACGCAGAGCCATTTTATACGGGTATGAGAGTCCCAGCCAAACTTCTCTCACTGCACATGCACGCGCCTCTCAGCTGATTTTCTGCCTCTCAGAGGCTCGAGGGAAACCTGCAGCTTTTGGAGGCTGAAAAATAGGCCCATATCATCAATTCCTGTATTTCTGGAAATACTGGAAGTGACGAAATTGGCCTGTTTTTCAGCCTCCAAAAGCTGCAGAGGCTTCCCTTGAGCCTCTGGGAGCCAAAAAAAGGCCTCAAATGGGCCAAAAATCAGCTGGGAGGCAATGCAGGTAAGGAGGGATGGCGGGGAATATCGCGCACCCGTGCGCAGGGGACGTGGGGGTGGCACGCACATTGCCTTCTGCATAGGAGACTAAAAAGGTTAGCCACCACTGCCCTATACCATTTGAGACAAGTGCTTGTCCAATCTCTTCTTTAAAACGTCCAGTAATAGAGCACCCACAAATTCTGAAGGCAAGCTGTTCTACTGATTAATTGGTCTAATTCAGGAAATTTCTCCTTATTTCTAGGTTGATTAGTTTTCTGCTATTGCTTATTGTTTTGCCTTCATGTGCTTTGGAGAATATGCTGATTGCCTCTTGTTTATGACAGCACCTTAGATATTGGGACACTGCTATAGAGTCACCTTTAGTTCTTTTCATTAAATTATAGATTCCTGCAATCATTCTTCATATGTTTTAGCCTCCAGTCCCCTAATCATCTTTTGCTCTTCTCTGTTCTCTTTCTAAAATCACAACATCTTTTTTTATATTGTGGCAACAAAAACTGGGTGCAATATTCCAAGTGTGATCTTACTGAGGCGTTTTTTTAAAAGTCATACTAGCGCTTTCTGTGATCTTGATTCTTGCCCTCTGTTAATACAGCCTAGGACTGTGTTAGATTTTTGATGGCTGCACACTCACATTTAAGTGATTGTCCACTAGGACTCCAAGATCCTTTTCACAGTTACTAGTGCCATTTATTCTCTACTGTCCATTTGGTTTTTCTTCGCTAAGCATAGATCCCTATTTTCCTTACTTAATTTCATTTTGTTGGATAAGGTCCAGTGTTCAAGTCTGTCAAGATCCTTCCGGATCTTGAACCTATCTTCTGGAGTGTAGGCTATTCCTGCAGCTTGGTATCGTCTGTAAATGTGATACTGCAAGCTAGTAGTAATTTTTCAGCTATTGTGTTAGCTGTGCCTCCCAGTTTCATAATATCTGCAATCTTTATAAGTATCCTTCAACTCCCTCATCTAAGCCATTGATAAAAATATTCAATGGAATGGAGCCTAGGCATATGCAGTGCCCAGTAGCATCACACAAATCCCTCCAAGTCTATTTGGCAAGTTTAATCAGCACTCTTTCAGTACAGTTGTTCTGCCAACTATGAATCTTCATTATCATTGAAAGTGTGACATCCAGAGAAGGAGGAACTAAGAAAAATAGGGCCTGCATACAATGATTCAGAAGAGTGAATTTTGATTAATTTCCCCAAGTGAATGTAGCGTGGATGTAACTGACTACATATTCTTTAGGAGAGGTGCAGGAATCATCTACAAAGAGCATTCTAGAGCATAACATGCAACTGTCAACAAGCAATAAATTATTTATATTTCCATGTGCATTCAAAACATTCCACAGCAGATGATTTCCAGTTCATACTTTCTGACCTACACTTCTCTATATTAATTTCTTAAATACACATTCATTCATTCATTTGTAATTTCAATTTAATCTCTTACATTTTAGGTCAGAATATTCCATCTTCTGTAGTCATCAAATGATCTCATAGATACTGACTTTGGGTGCTCAGCTTGGTCAGTTGGAACTTCTGTATAAAGTTTTATAAACATAATAGATGAATAGGCTAGATGGAATCCTTATTTATATCGAATTGAGGTAGTATTCAGTCTGGTTAAATTTTCACACATTTTATATTTGCCACAAAGCCAATCAAAATCTAGTTTTATCCCAAGTCTGCTCAGATTATTCCTACAAACTAGGATGTTTTAATTAGGGATGATTTTCAACCAACAAAGAATTGAATGTAGACTATGGCATACTTTAATCTTTTATTTCTCTGATTTCAAAACAGGAAAAAATATTTCTAGACCTGAGCCTGAAATCTACCCCAATTTACTTAATCAAGTCATCTCATTGACTTTGACAATATTTCTTTAAAGTATGGTCTACATATTCTAAAGAAGGAGTTGCCAAGCTTTTGGACCTCAGGGATCACCAAACTCATACTTTTAAATCCTGAGGACCACTAACATGAATTTTTTTTTTAAAAAGATAATATATTTAATATATATTTTTCATTTTTATATTACATATAAATGTACTATTTAATATATATATAAATGCTTAATTATTATAACAAAAAAATATAACAAGAAAAACACAGCCCCCGCCCCCACCCACCCCGGCCCAATCTGGTCTCCTGTCATTTCATATATCCCCCAAATCAGAGGAAACTCCCTCCTTTGCCAGGTGTGGCTACCTAGAGTTGAGGGAGGGAAGGAGGTCCTAGCTGGAAACTTCCCTCCCACCTGGAAGCCTCCCTCCCCTCCTGGGTCTTTAACACCTGGCTTGCTTCTCCACTACTGCCTCCTCCTCCAGTACCTCCTTCTCTGGGTAGGGCAATTATGAACTAACCAAGCGGCTACACTGATACCTCAGCTGCTCTCTTTCCTGTCGTAAGACTTGGCGTGTGGAAAAGGAGCTGGCAGCTGCTACTTGGTGGTCCCGCAGGCAAGGCAAAGTCATCCCGGTCCCAGTTAAGACATGCCAGTCACAAACCTAGAGTCCAAGCCAAGAGGGGTCGCTTCCCCTTGCCAGAAAGAGCAGCGGGCGTGCGCGTGCATGGTTCAGCACAGTGGACAACCTTCACTCTGCTGACGAGCCATGTGCTGAAGACCAGATGGCTGTCAGGAAGGTGGGGCAATAGGGGTGATATTGGCAGTGGATGGACTCATATGCGTGGTATATCGCGGCATAGGCCTGGCCTGCGAGAGAGATGGGGGAAAAGAACCTCTGAACTGGTGTTACCTCCTGCCTCTTGCCTCCGTGCATTGAGGAGGTTGAACGGCTGCCAGCGATGCCCACAGTGGAAGATGTCGCAAGGGGGATGCTTGACCCCCCCCCCCAGGAGCTTCGCTTCCTCCTCGCCAGAAGCACTGACACTCAAAGTGCTCACTACCCCTCTGGCCCCCGACAAGCCTCCTCCTTCCTGCTGAGCATGTGAGCGCTTCTGGCAAGGAGGAAGAGGGGGTCAAGCCTCCCCCCTTGCAACATCTTCACCTGAGGGCAGCTGCTTCCTGCGGCTCAGGAAGTCCACGCTCTTCCCGCTGCTGCTCAGCCTCCTTGATGCGCGGAGGCAGCAGCCATGACACGGGTTTTCTAGGGAGAATGCAGGATTGCCCCACCTCCCTGCCTCAGCATGCTGCAGCCCACAAAATTTTCTCACGGTCCATCAGTGGGCCGCGGCCTACCGGTTGGCAACCACTGTTCTAAAGAATATGTAGTGGTTTTCTTTTTTCTATGTTTTTTTTTCCTGAATCATTTTCTCTTCTTAAGTCATCAACATTGTAGACAAATTAAAATATTGAAGAGTTTATATTTGAGTTTAATAAACTTTAAATGAGTTATGTTCCTATGGGATTACTTCTCAGAACAGAAATTGTGCCCTCATGCACACCATTGAAAGTACAAGTTTGCTATTTATTGTAAATCCAATTAATAAGAATACAATACTTGAGACAAGCAGAATTGGCTTTATTTGCTTTGTGGTTATCATTCAAATAGCAGCTGCTTAATAATGTTCTTTTTAATGTTTATGTCACCCAGAATTGCTAATGAGTTGGGTGATCTAAATTATAAATATAAGAATCAATCAATACAACAATCAAATCAATAAAGCCAGAAAAAATTTACTTTACAATTACTTTAAAATTTAAAATTACTTATAATTATTTAAAAAAAAAAACAATTACACAGGTACAATCCTGGGGAATTTTTCTTAAATAGTACTTTTGCTAGTAGTGATCGGATTTTTTAATATCTGCCACCAGATATTTCTTGGCTAAGTCTTGTAAATTTGCTTTGCAACAGGTCAAATCACTGCATAAATGAATTAAATATTTCTGGAAAAAACAAGCTATTGTTTTGGGATACATGGTGGTAGTGTTAAATCTGATTTATGTTGTGTGTCACTTTCAGAGGATTCTGATATTGATTTAGCCTCTCCAGTAACTGATTTGTATGCTTTGTTTCAGAGGTCATTTACATTAATAATAGAAGCCTGGGACTGGGATAATGAAACAAAAGCAGGTGAGTATATTCTTAAAGAATTTGAACTCTCAGAGCTGACAGTTGTGAGGAAATAGACATCTTGTAGGAAACATTTTGAATTTATAGCTTGGCAGATAAAATTAAAACAAAGATTTGTTTATATGTTCCTTCTGTACACCGAACATTAAATTGGGAATATTGGTTAAGATGAAGATTAAGAGACATAGTCAGTCTAACCCGTATTTTGTATTCTCAGATATATATATACAGGTAGATTCTGAAATATGTGCAAAAAGTATATGAAAAATATATACTCAACTAATTCTGGCAGTACTCTTCTGAGCTATTTAAATATTGTTATCATCACATCTGAATCATTAATCTATAATAATAGAGTTATTATAATATTTGACCTTATGTTTTGTATATATTTATAAAGGCACGTGTTAGCTTACATATACTGTTCATAGTATTATTGGCTAATCATTTCTTTTAGTATCTTAGATATTTGAAAACAGAAATATGCTAACTTATCTTTGGGTTTCGAGTAAAAAAATCTAAATACATTTCTTCCCAGGAAATAAAAATATAATAGCTGACATCAGGGATCTCAAACTCCAAATAATACTCCAAATAAATCTCTGGAAGCTTTGAGGTAACTTGAAGAAGCATTGAGGAAACTTGAGGAAATATTTCATAATGCAGTAGAAATCTTTTTGCTCAAGATTCCTCCTCCCCCAGGCCTTTACATTGGTAATTTCTGTATAGGAAGCAATGGGAATTCAATGCAAGTACTGAACTCTATAGTGTTTTGTTTTAAACAACAACATAAATTCAACTATCTTCCCAATTTATAGAAAAATATGAGATGAAAGGCAAAAAACTAGTGCAACAAGAGAAGGTTGACCCAAAATTTTACCTTTCTGTTTTGGGGTATGCAGGAATCTTGTTCTGTATTTCATTAGCCACTGGTTACTTCTTTCAGTTTATTTGTTTTTCGTGCGTAACCTTCTTCTGGTTAGGAATCCCTTTCTAACCAGCAGCAGTTTCCCTACACTCTTAACCACATGACTTCCTTCATTCTTCAGATAATTTGCTTTCTAAAACAAGAGGAAACCTAGAAATGCTTTACTGTACATTCTTAAATGGGTGTGCTGATCAACATTTTCTGGACACATTTTGTCCTTTTGCAACTATAGTGCTCTCCTTTGCTAACATGCTCTATATTAAAATGTTTATTTAAATTCTTCATGTTTCAATTTTTAGATGAAAAATTATTAATTGACAGAGTATCATCTGCGGGTATGATCAATCCAGAGGATAGATGGACAACACTACAGTTGAATGGCCATGTTGCTCATTTTGAAGCACAAATAAGAGTGAAGTGTGATGAAAACTATTATGGACCACAGTGCAATAAATTTTGTGGCCCGCGTGATGACTTTGTGGGCCATTACACATGCGACCAAAATGGAAATAAGGCTTGTATGGAAGGCTGGATAGGAGATGAATGTAAACAAGGTACTGTATTTCTCATGTATTATAATGCAACAGTTATATTGAATTGTGACATGTTTTTATGGCAAAAGAGGAGAAGTGGCCACACTAAGGATTTTGACTACTCCCTAAGCCTATTTTTGTAGCTATTAGATATACTCGTGACTGAAATGTAGTAGCAAACTATCCATTTTAAGTGGCTCTATTTTCTTCGTTTTATTTATACACACATGTATGTTAACACCCCCCTATCCCCAGCTGAGTGTATTAAGTCTCTGGCATTCATAAGTTCATATCATCAAGCCATGTACTGCAGCATTTGAAGATCAAAATAAATAAATAGTTATTGTTCTCCAGCATAGAATACCAGTGCACTATTATTATGTTGATGCCATATCTGAATAAGGTAGTCAGGACCTTTAAAGCAGGGTCTCCAACCTTGGCAACTTTAAGACTTGTGGACTTCAACTCCCAGAATTCCTCAGCCAGCTTTGCTGGCTGAAAAATTGCCAAGGTTGGATACCCCTGCTTTAAACCATATGTTGTCTATTCCAGTTAACACTTGACTCTAAGATTTGGAATCCTTTCTAAATAGGAAAAAGACAGGAGCTACAAGCAAAATAATGTCCATCATTGAATAATGCCTCCTCTAAAATAACTAATATTATTTTATTAGATATACTGTATTGAATCAGCAAGTCTTTAAAAAGCACATAATCACAAAACGTTTCAACCATAGAAGCTCTTGAACCAACTGCCTACTTCAGTGAAGCTAATTATTTTATTAAAATGTAGAGGTTAATCTGCATCCATTCCAAAATTAGAATGTTGGCAGAGCATCTGAGATATTATATTTATATATTGTAAGAATAGCCTTTGGACAGGATACTTTTATAATGCTTTATGTTTCCTCTTTGTATCTTTTTGTGTTTCCTGAAATAGATATTTTTAGACAGGAAAAAATCACAAAAAAATCTATTTGTTTTTTTTATTCAGGAGGTTATGGATATGATCATTGTAATTGATAGTTTTAGCTAAAACTTCCACTTTTTCTTAAAACTATCCTTCAGGAAAAAAATCAGTGCATAAAATGATTTAATTACAGTAATCACTTTTTCTAAAGAGTTGATTCTAACTGATGTTTAATTCTTTCTTTTCACAGCTGTATGTAAGCAGGGATGTAATTTAATCCGTGGAGGATGCAGCGTACCTGGGGACTGCAAGTAAGCTTGCTTATTTACTTACTTACTGTGAGTAGCACAGAACTCCTCAATATGTAATTCAAATTCAAATCATAAAATGTTAAAAATAACTAGAAACATTCCTGTGGAATCAGGAATAAAAACATTAACAACTTTGAATAATCCAATCTGATGACTGAAAGACAATTATAGCAAACCAGCTTTCCTGGCTTGGTAGAACAACCAAGTTTTCACCAGTTTGCTAGAAGCCAGAGGGAAGGGGCAAATTACACAATTGGGCAGAAGGTGCTGTTCCAAAGGAGTTGGATGGCAACTTAAATGGGCTGCTTCTATTGCCCTTTAACAATTTCTAATTGAGGGAAATACAACAAGCCTACCCAACTCGATTTTAACAGGCAGGGCAAAGGTGGTCCCTTAGACATCCAAACTCCATAGATATCTTACAAGGATATACCTAAGGACTTCGCAGCCATTCTGTGAATTGCATCTGGAAGCTAGTTAGCAACAAAGTACAGTTCCTAGAATAAAATGCTTATGTGGCTATTTTCAGATGCACCTATCACTAACTGAATGCTTCGTTTTAGTTCATCTGTAACTTCCACATTCTTTGGAGGTACAGTCCCACGTCAAATGCATTACAACAGCCAAATGAATAAGTAACAGGCTTACAATGAGCAATGGCTGTTGTTCCAAGAGAATTTACTGTTGATTGCATACAAGATGGAGTTTGCAAATGCCCTCTTGACCATAGCTGTGCCTGCTTCTTTCAACTGCAAACCAGCTCTTCCTGAGGCAGTACAACTAATTAATAATGAATTTCACTGAAAACATCTTCCTTGGACTGGCTTTCTACCTGATCCCAGACAACCTCCCAGCACCTGAGCAACATTTCAGAAACATCAACTACTCAGTGAGGGGTCAAAATACAACACTGAATATCATCTGTCTACCAATGTAACGTTACCCCATGCTGTTGGAAGATTTCACTCAATAATGTCATTTAGATGCTGAATAAAAGTGGGAGAGCATCAAGCCCTGCAGGACTCTCCATTAAGTCTATGATTCAATCTCCTTCACCACCCCCACCTCAGAATTGTGACTTCATGAAGGTGGAGAAACATAGCCCTTGTAACCTTTGGAGGTGGTTCAGAAGGATATTGTGTTCTGTGGTACTGAAAACTACTTTCTCCAGGATTCTCTATAATTGCAGTTCAGGTGCTTTTTCCATAATCTTCTCCCAAAGGGAGGGTTGGAGAGTATAATTGTTCAGCATATCTTGATCAAATAGTAGATTCTTGGGAAATGATTCATTATCACCTCTTTCAAAAAGAGGTAATACTCCTGTCAGTATGAAGTTTATGTTGATATATGTATTAGATTTACATTCTGTCTTTTGTTCTGAAGCAGTGTATATGATTCACTTATTTTTCACCTAAACAATTCTCTTGTGAGGTGGATTGGATTTAAGAAAAACGGATTGGCCCCAAATTACTTAGTGAGTCTCCCTGGCTAAGGACACTGGATCTTGTTGTGTTATCTAACTCTTTAACTGCCAGACCATTGCTTATATGCATTTTTATGGGCATATAGTAATTTTGTGGGGAAGATGCTTAATTGCTAAACACATTGCTGAATTTGAGAAATTGTTTATATTTTTGAAATGATACTTTTTACAAAAATGTATTGCAAGCAATTTAGCAATAAATTTGGCACATATTTTTATATTTTTAAATAAATTGTTGTCAATTGTATAAATTAAAATAGTTTTATTTACCATCTGTCTGTTCAAATAGAACATTTAGGGCAGGCTTCAGATAAAATAAAATGAAATAAAACTTAGAGTAACACAGAAAACAGAACTCATGACCATCATATTTCTCACTGCCCTCTTGTATTCAAGTGCAGTGTTTCATTTACATACATAGAACAAGCAAATTCATGCACCTAAGAGCTAAAAACTAAGTATTTCCAGGTAATCTTGATATTTTTACCTTTTTTGTGTGAATCTCAAGTTACAACCTACTTAATAGTAATCACTAGCATAAACTTTTTTTCTTGCATATTTTTATTTTGAATTCAATAGCTTTGCTATTTGATATTATAATGTGATTAAAAAACAAGGCTTTTGGCAACTGCTGTTTAGCTTGTTATCCAATGAATGTGGGGAACTTGAATGAAAACTGAATGAACAAGAAATTAATCTTCTTTCCCTTGTGATAGCTATATAGTGCAGTATGAACTATCTTTATAATCTACATGATGTGGAATCCAAAAAAATAAATTATTTATACATTTATTTGGTTCCTGCAGAAATTTAGGAAATGTGCTATAATCAAACTTATATGGACAGGTAGATCATTTGAATGTCAGTAAAAACACAGTAATTTTGCTTCTATTGTTTAATTAAAAATACTGTTTCCTGATTAATCTAAATGCCTCCATTTTATAGTCTGGTATAAACTAATATATTATTATCAGCGATATATTACTTTAATGTGTATGTAGCATTGGACCCAATATTATAAAAATGATACAAATTAGTTAATAATTTATAGTTTTATATATTTATTGGTGTTGTGCTTCCTATAGTTTTATCCTTTTTAACATTGTAAGCCGCTGAGAGTTAACCTTTAGTACGATAGGCAGCCAGTAAATTTAATAAACAATATAATTGACAGTGGACATCATGAACCTCTTGTCTGATGGGAAGCTTTCAAAGATTGGAAATAAAGAGGGAAATGAATTGCCTTCAGGAATGCTGAAATTATAAATCAGGCAGGCTGTTAGCAACCCAAAATATTTTTAATTTATATTAGAAGGGCCTTTGATACTAAAAAAAAAAACCCTGCATATATGTAGTTTTGTAACTTCTCACTGACATATGTCATTATGTCAGGTATAGTAAGAGATACTTACATTTTAAGATAACAACAATCCATGGTGGCTAGATGCTTCATTGTTGTTAAAGACTGCTTACACAACATGACTGAATGCAAATTTTGCAGCTTAAAATTGTATGAATATTGTAGTTAATCAACATATTGTTAACATTTAATATGCACTTATGTCTAGGTGTAATTATGGTTGGCAGGGGCAATTCTGCGATGAATGTGTCCCCTACCCAGGCTGTGCTCATGGGAGTTGCAGCAACTCATGGGAATGCAGATGTGAAATCAACTGGGGTGGCCTGCTCTGCAACAAAGGTATCAAACTTCTGCTTGTAAAAAATATTTTAAAACTTCAAGGTTAACAAAAATCTAATAGCACTTGTTTCTGTAAAGATGTTTACTTAAGAGCATTCAGCAGAATCTGGTTTGCATCAGGTAATTTCCCTGTAACATTCTATAGTTCTATAGCTTGATGGATTTTTCTATATTTGCCATCATAAATGCCACAAAAATGATAGTATATGCAATAACTTACATGAAATCAGATGCACTAAAGGCGAATATAGATATGGGTATGTATGTTAGAGCTAAAAAAACATTTTAACATTATATTTGAAAAGACCTTCGTATGAAATGTTGTACCTTATGTGCTATATCAGTGGTCCCCGACCTTTTTTGTACCAGGGACCAGTTTCACGCAGAAACACTTTTTCAAGGACCGGGGGTGGGGGGAGACACTTTTTCAAGGAGGGAGGGAGGGGAAGAAGTCCGAGTTTGGTGGTTTGCTTGCAGACGTTTCATTACCTGACTAGATAACATCTGATGTTGTTACCTAGTCGGGTAATAAAACGTCTGCCAGCAAACCACCAAGTTCAGGGAGCGCCAGTGCCGCCTCATTGCAACCCTGAGCGACAGATATTCTCTTCTATTGGGACATTTAAAACGGAGAGTTTCAGCTGCAGATTCAGGAACTGCGCCGGGCTGAGGAGCGCCTTCAAAACTGCCTCAGGTGTCTGCCTCGTTCCTCTCTCAGTCGCTCTCTCTCGCTCCTCCACCAGCCCAGGAAGAAACTGCTTCAAAGAAGCCGGCAGGGTGGCTTTTCCTGTCGGCGCAGCTCCTCCGAAGCGCCCGTTCACCCCCACCCCGCTGCCCACAGTTCAATCCAGTGCTCCGTCCTGCCTGCCTGCCTTCATTTCTGGTTGTTTCGGAGCAGCTTCGGCTAAGTAAAAGAGGCGAATAGTTATTATTCTCAGCCAAAGCTACTCCGAAACAACCAGAAATGAAGGCAGGCAGAACGGAGCACTGGATTGAACCACGGGCAGCAGGGTGGGGGTGAACGGGCGCTTCGGAGGAGCTGCGCCGACAGGAAAAGCCACCCTGCCGGCTTCTTTGAAGCAGTTTCTTCCTGGGCTGGTGGAGGGGAGGAGAGAGACTGAGAGAGGAACGAGGCGGGAGGAAACCGAAGCCGCTGAGCCGGAGAGCAGTACAGGCTTTGGTTGCTTCCTCCCTCCCCTTCTTTCATTTGTGTCCTTGATCCCTGATCCCAGCAGCATTCACCGAAGGCGAAGAAAGCCGCCATTTTTATTTTATTTTTATTTTCTTTGCGGCCCGGTACCAAATGATCCACGGACCGGTACCAGTCCGCGGCCCAGTGGTTGGGGACCCCTGTGCTATATAACTTTAATCCTTCCTTTCTGTCTAGATTTAAACTACTGTGGAAATCATCATCCATGTGTGAATGGGGGAACCTGCATGAATACAGAACCAGATGAATATAGCTGTGCATGCCAAGATGGTTACTCTGGAAAGAACTGTGAAATTGGTACATACATTTTCTACTCCAGAAATTTTATTAATAAGTGACAGTCTTGGAAAAATTTGGCAAGTCCTGTTTCCTGTCTGCATTAGGAATAAATGAATTTCTGTTCTCTTCACTGTCTTTTATGAAAGCATTAATCTATGCTTCAAGAATTTATAGATAACTTAGCACATACTTGCAAGCTAGAATTGGCTTTTTACGAATGACATTTATGCCTTAGATCAGGGGTCGCCATCCTTTTGGGCCTTAGGGACCACCAAACTCATAATTTTAAATCCCAGGGACCACTAACTGGTTCTATGGACGTGGCCTAATTTGTGGGTGTGGCTTGGTGGTCATGTGACTGGCTGGGCATGGCTTGTATGTAAATATTATAAATATTTATATAAATATTGAATTTTTTTATTAAAAAAGAGCAACTTTTACCCAAAATCAGGCAAAGCAGGGAGGCAGATTGAGTTGCTCACAGTATCACAAATTCATTCTGCCATTGGCTAGCTCAGTCTGTCACATAAAAATTGCTAGCAAGCAAACTCACAAAATTAACTCACAACACACCATATATGTAAATATTGAATTTTTTATTTAAAAAAAAGAGAGAGCAACTTTTACCCAAAATCAGGCAAAGCTGGCAGGCAGATTGAGTTGCTCACAGAATCACAGATTCATTCAGTGATCTATCTATCTGCCATTGGCTAGCTCAGTCTCTCAAATTTGCTTGCCATGAGTCTGCACTGAATAATAGTACCTTCAGTCCTAAGGGAGGTTCAGTTGTGCTTTAAAGCAGAGCCAATGATCTAAAGACTAGCTAGAAAGCAAGAAATCCAACCATTTCCTACTTACTAGCTAATCTAAATCTGGCACAGCAGAACAGATGATGGTCAGAAAAAGGAAAAATAGCAATTTTAGCAGGCAAGTTTGCCGGGTAAGGAGTGAGTGGGTGGGGAGCGTTCCTACGGGCCATGTGGGCGGTGCAGCCTTGTGTTTCTGTGCAGCCTGGATTAATTGCTTGTGGGGGTGCTCGGGAGGTGAGATTTTTGTGCGGCCCACCAAAATCTTCTCACGGCCCACCGGTTGGTGACCGTTGCCTTAGATAACCCCCCAAACTGTATAAAATAATGATAGGGAATACACTAAAGCTGTAATAGAGAAATGTTGGAAGTATGTTCATCTTAAGAATATATACAGTATGAAAACAATAGGAAAATATACAGTCGTATCATTAAAATACAATATAAAACCTTAAAACAGTACAAACTGTACATATAATTCAGTTAAAATTCAATTAAAATTCAATTAATCAAGTTTGGAAGAAGGGAGCAAAGTTCGTGGAAGTGGGGTAATAATTATGGTCTCTCCAATCAATTAACCACTTCCAGGATGCCACTCCCCCATTGAGACTCTAGGCCAGCTGTCAGAGCCAGGTTTTCAAGCCCATTCAGAAGGCCAGAAGGAATGCAGATCTCACCCTGGGAGAGGCAGGATGTTACACACAGTAGGAACATGGCAGAAAAGTTTCTTCTAAACCCCACCAGCCAAAATTTCTTGACTTATGGGGTCTGCAGAATGCCTTTTCTGCCAGTGCATGTGGGCTGGGCTAATCCCAGTGGATTGAGCCAATTTCTCAGATATCTTGGACCTATGCCAGAAAGGCTTTAAAAGTGATAATCAACACCTTGAGTTAGATCCAGAAGCAAGCTGGCAATTTACAGAATATTCATGAACATACATGAAATTTTTAAGCAGTCCTGTTGAACATGTAAATGATTAAGAAACAAAGTGGGGTAGAAAAATAAGAAACTGAGAGAAAATGAAATTGGCAGATATAGGATCACACTAAAACAGGGGTGTCAAACACAGGTGTAAATCAGCCTGCGAGCCAGATGCGTCACATGCAGGCCACGTCCATCCCGGCTCCGCAAATGGGGAAAATGTCATGAAGCATCACATGATGGCAATGTGATGCGGCGAGCTTGACACCTGTGCCCTAAATGTAGAAAATTTAATGGTGACTTCTTACAGAGAAACTATAAATAGGGTTTCAGTCTGGATTTTAAAACTTTTTTTTTTTTCTCATTAGCTGAGCATGCTTGTGTTTCAAATCCTTGTGCTAATGGTGGAATTTGCCATGAAATTTCATCTGGGTTTAAATGTCAGTGTCCTAAAGGATGGAGTGGACCAACATGTGCAATTGGTAGGTACTGTCTAAGTCATAATATTTGTACCTTGCTGATGAAAAACTCATTTTGGTGCTCAAAAATTTCTTGCAACTCAATTGCCATTCTCTTAGAGATATCTTGAAGGAAGTGCCTGTTTCTGTAGTTCACAGATGGACTCCCTCCTTTGCCATTCTTATCCATATCATTTTCTTTTAGATTCTTCCAATTAAAACTAACTAAAATTCCACCCAGAAATTTAATGGCCTTAAAATTATTATGGTATGTGGCTACAATACAGTGCATAATAATGGTAGCAATCTATCCGAGAGAGAGAGAATGAGAGAAAGAAGTGATTTTAGGATTGATAGGAAGGATTCTCATCAGTTTATTTACTAGAAAATACTGTAATGCTCAACATACAATCAGGAGTGGGATTCAGCCGGTGTTACTACTGGTTTGGTGACTAAGTTTTACACTGTGCACGCATGTAAAACAACCTTAGGCTGTGCCGCCCAGACAGCTGAAAAGCGCTGCACGCAGGTGCATGGCATTTGAAAAGCCTCTTTTTCCCTGTTTTTTCAACCTCAGCTGTGCTGTGCAAAGCAGCTGAGGTTGAAAAAGCAGGAAATAAAGGACAGGTAAAAGTGCAGGCAGGTGGGCCAAACAACAGCAAACACAGAACCAGTTCAGTGCCTGCTGCTCTTCAGAGCTACTGGCTCTATAGAACCGAGCAGAACCAGTAGCATCTCACCCCTGCATACAGCCTTTTTCTGAATTAGTTAATTTCTTTTCCCAATGGCAGTATATGAAGTTGCATTATACAGTCCTTAACAAAATTCTAAATATGCCCATAAGTTCAAAACGTTTGGATGCAATATATTTTTTTAAAAAAAATGTGTGTAATAAAATAGTTTATCAGAGAATGAGTAGTAATGATGAAGGGGAGAACCACAATAGATAAAACAAAGATGCAAAATGTGTGGAACTTCGCACATGCATGAACAGGCCAGTATTTTCCCTTTTCTGATTTGATTGAGATGCTTGTTTTTAAACTTACATTAATCCTGTTTTAGGATTTGAACCTCTTTTTATTTTTATTTTTTACTTTATTGCCAGTTTTGACAATTGTAGATAGTTCTAAAATTATATGTCAAATTAAGTTACCATCTTTCTTTACTTGAAAGATATTTTATAGTTCTAAAGTTATCTCGGACAACTGTTTCCTTCCCCAGATATTGATGAATGTGCATCTAATCCTTGTGCTAGTGGTGGTACTTGTGTTGATCGCATTAATGGGTTTGAATGTATATGTCCACAGCAGTGGATTGGGGCAACCTGCCATCTTGGTAAGTCTTAACATTTAGAAGTATCTCAAATTATTACTTCAAAAATATTTTTAAAAGATTTTACTGTCATCTTTGCTGAATTATTATTTCGCTACTGCTCATATCACTTTATGAAACAGGTTGTAAAACATTACTATCTTTTGAATGCAGGAGCCATATACTGTACTACATTTAATCAAAATTCATCTGTAGCATTCCTTCCTGCTATAGATAATTATTTTTGGCAAAACAATAGTGGTTAAATTAGGCATGTGTAAATGTTTAAGCTACTGTGTTTCACTGCAGAAAGTTTTTTGTTCCTGATGTGTGGCCATTCAGTTTTCCTTATTGCTTCATTTGCTTGACTCATTTTATGATTGTGGTGTGTGCATGCTGCAGGATTACTCAGAAACATGGAGCTTTCTGTACATATGTTTGGGCAGATTCTTTTTGAATGCATAGTTCAGCCTGGAGTTAACAAAAAAAAACCAACCCCACAATTACTGTTTTGCCAGGGAAATAGGTAATAGCATTAGAGGAGAATCAGATCTTAATCTGATCTTAATGCCCCAGATATTATAATCAATTTTCTGTTGAACAAGTGATTGAATAGTTGCGTAAGAAGCAGAATAGATGCTGATATCTAACCTTTCTTTAAAAAGGCTGCATAGCCATACATTATCCCAGGTGTCCACATTGTTGGCTATTCTGCATCTAATCCACAATTAAGTTGTTAATTGAAAATTTCCTAATGCAGCTTCCAGAAGGGTGATGTGCTTTGGTTTGATTTAGTTTGTTTTTTTGAAAAAGTTGGAAGTAATCTTTCAGATAATTTTTATTACAGTTATTTCCCTGGATTTTTTTTAAACAGTCACTGAGGCTTTCCTAGGGCAAAGAATGCAGCATCATATTGCGAATATCAGCAAACAGTATCAAAGTAGTGAATGAAATGTAGCTGATATTTGGAAAGCATGGAAGCTTTGCTTTGGTGCAAGGGCAGTCTCTTTCTGGGTTTGTTCTTCACTCTCTGCTTTTCTTCTCTTCTTTCACAGATGCTAATGAGTGTGAAGGGAAACCCTGTCTTAATGCTCATTCTTGCAAAAATCTTATTGGTGGATATTATTGTGACTGCATTCCAGGATGGAAAGGAGTAAATTGTCATATCAGTCAGTATTTAATATTTAGTGTATACACTTGAGCCTAAGGGTCTCTTATTTATGGACTAAAAGCTGACAATCTTAAATTAATGCTTATGGATCATTTCCAAACCTAACTTTTCTACAAGTCTTTACGGTGACACTTTTTATCACATACTTCCTTGCATCTAAAGCCTTAGCTTTTGATTTGTGGAATGAACTAACTGAAAGTTTCTGAGAAATTATTCAAATTATTTGTTTTAAACATAGCTTTGCTTTATGATTTGGACTCCTTCAAATTTGCATCACTTATAAAATTCTTATTTCCTTTCCTCTGGAAAACATCAGTTTGACTATTTGAAATCAACAAATATCATTAATTATCCTTCAGTCTATTATTTCCATTATTTTAATGATTTTCCTATTTTATCCCTAGATGTTAATTATTGTCATGGGCAGTGCCAAAATGGAGGGACTTGCAAGGTAATTTGTGTTATTTTATGATTCTTTTGAGCAACCTTTAAAATTTATTAGGACGGTCATAATTGGATCCTGACAGCATTTGTCTTAATTTCACCCTTTTAATTCTTTATATCTTTGTAGACAGATAGCGCTGTACCAATTGTTCATGTATGGACAATACAGTATAAAGTTCAAGATTCAAATGGATAGTTGGCAGCCATTCAAGAATATACTTTCAGTAATGTACAGGTAGTCCTTGAATTGTGACAGTAATTGGGACTTGAATTTCCATCACTAAGTGAAATCACAGTCTCTATTGCTATTGATTACTGAATCCCATCAGTTATTGAGAGAGGACCACCCAGTCACAAACTGATGGTGCAGTAGGACACAGGTTGTAAGTCCCTTCATTAAGTACCATCATAGTTTCAAACAGTTGTTGAACAAATATTTGTTCAGCAAGGGCTACCTGTATCAGATAAGCAGCCATAAGGAGTCATATAAATAAATAAATTCATCCAGTGAAATCAAGGAGGTAAAGGGATACTTTAAATCCAAGTTTTTGATAATGTGGACTAGGTATACCAAAAGTAGTAGTATAGGATACTGTCTGACTCTTAAATTGCCCCTTTTTATAAATAAGAGGATTATTTACATTTTGAGGATTACATTATCCTCACAATGTAAATAAGACCATAAGGAAGAGTTCTGAAGTACTTCAGAAAAGTTCAGGTATGTATTCCTAATGTTTATGACACTACAAAGTAGAAATGCAAATAAAGATTTAAAAACTGTTAAAAAGGAAACTCAGTTCAAATCCATAAGTGAACATTAAGAGGTTAACTAGGAATAATCTTACTAAAATATTCATTAGATAGTGTTAGAGCAAACTGACTATGAAGCATTTGTATACTAATTCTAAAAATTCAGATGCAAAATTATTGGGCAACTTAACTTCCTTCTGTGCCTTTTGTGTGTCATAGTCTCTATAAAGTAAAACAGAAATATTCAGATGGGCACCTTTTTTTCTAAAAAAAACCCATAACCGTTGTTTTAAAATAATAAATAAGCCTAATACTCAAAACAATGAATCCGAAGTATAAAGGAAGCCATTAAATTACTTCTTTCTAGACATCAAACTTTAATGGCATTGAATTGCTTAGCACACTCATCCCAAACAATTTTCTTGTGGGTCTAATAGTTTCTTCTTTAAACAGATGTGTTTTATCAGCTTTGTTTTTAAAAACAAAGACAGAACTTTACTTTCATAGTCAAGTAGACATTAGAGTATTTTAATCCATGGGCCCTGATTTAAAGTTATAAGAGAATCAGCCTAGAGGATCCATTGTCCCAGTCATTCTTTTTAGTAAACTTGTGGAATTTTTTAAAAATTGTAATATTTTTCCATTAAGACTTTTCTGGTATCTTCTATAAATGATCGTATATTTTTTTTCAATTTGTTCATGTAGGACGAAGTGAATGGCTATCATTGCATATGTCCTCCTGCTTTCATAGGCAAGAACTGTGAAAAAAAAGTTGATGACTGCATGAGCAACCCATGTCAGAATACAGGTCACTGTACTAACCTCGTCAATGGATTCCATTGTCTTTGCCCTCATGGTTTCTCAGGAGAATTCTGTGAGGTGAAGGATACTTTAGACTTGTTAGAATACTTGGATGGTCTGAATTCTAAAGGAACTTGAGTGCTTGTTGTTATGGATGAATGGAACAGTTCATTTACTGCCCCAGAGGAACGGCAAATTTGGTGGAAAAAAGTCTTACCATTTAAGCATAGTGGGACACATAAAAGAAAGAGCCCATTAAGAGTTCACCATCACTATTTTTATTTTTATTTTCTTTTTCCTTTTTGTTTTTTCTTTTTTCTTTTTGGATACAACAGAAAGCTGTCCTTTCATTTCCCTCAAATTCTTCTAGATCCCAATTAAGTGATTTTGCTTCATAGCATATGTCACCTACAGCATAGAAGTTAATTATTGTTACAATTGAGGAAAGGAAGTACTTGGAGGGACACTTCTTCAGGATACTCTCAAGCTGTCATCTTTCCCTCCCGAGAGCACTATTTTTTAAGTAGTAGAATATTTAAAATATACAACAATAAATATTGATTCTTTCTTTCCTTCTCCTCTTGCCTTTCCTTCCTCCCCTTTTTTCTTTTTCATATTTTCTACCACCACTGTTACAGACTACAAATCAAATTATGAATCCAGTGTTTAATGGGCATTATTGAAGTGCAGATTTGTACATCAGTGCTCATTGTATTTCACTCCAGTACAATCAGGAATAGAGTTATTGATTGGAAGTATTGATCTAAATTCTATTGCCGGGGAGGAGGTCATAATCTGCTTCAAAATTGTACAGGCTAATGAACTGCTAGGACCAGTCTCTTGTCTGGCAAAGGAATTGTTTCATGCAAAAATCTGGGCATCTAATACCATTACGCCAGTCACTCTGTTTCAATTAATATATTGGTACATAGCAGGCCAAGGTATTTTTTTTCTGAGAAAATCCTATAGTACTCATTTGGTGTAGGAGGAAAGGAATTGTTGTGTATTGTCTTATAACTGGATAATGTACATTCTAATATGGCTATGCTGCTATGTGTTCTAGATTGGTTTCCTTTTTGTTGAGGAATTGAGTCTGCTTTTATTGACATAAATGAGAAATGGTGCTAGATTATTTATCTTTATATTGCTTTCGGCTGGTTTGTAACATTAGTACTAAAATAACGCCTGGCTTATTAAGAACTGTAGAAGAGGTCACCTTCATTTTTAGAGACCATTTTTTCAGGTATGCCTAAACAACTAGTATCTATCTCAGATTGGAAGACATTGTGCCATACAGCTAAGCTTGATCCAAGTTCCCACATCTTTTAGTGGAAAAAACATATCTCCATTATCCAGCTATTTAACTGTTTTAATGCTATAATATGGTTTTGTTGTGTTTTATGTGTTTGATTAACAGGTAACATTTGTGAAAAAGCAAATAGATGCTTATTTAAAACAGTTGTAGATGACATTCAGATTACAATTCCTTAGAATGATTTATAAGTGTAATTCTATAATTTTTGTAGTTGCAGGATTTTTAAAATTTGCCACCTTCATCATGAGAGTAACAAATCAAGATGCTTTAAATATATACATAATGTAATTAAACAAACTTTTGCTTCTCATTTACAACAAGGATAAATAACATATTTCTACCCCAATGCTAGATGAACTGTCAATTGAGTAACAGGGCTTGTCCATCTCTCATGAGCAAAATAAATTTCAAATTTACATCTGTTTGGCAGAAAGTAATTAAAATGGTTAGCTTGGAAATCAAATATTTTCAAAGAACCACCACCCCCTATAATATTTTCTGCACCTTTTTCACCCCCCAGAATCTCATAGCAGTTTGAGAACAATTGTTTCTACAAAAAATAATCCAAGCAGTTCTTTTGAGGAGACAGATTGAAAAGCAATCAAGCTACCTTTCTCCTTGGAAAACTTGCTAGCTGCCACATGAGAAATAGGATGTAAATGAATTTCTGCAAATGGCCCCACAAACTCCACAGAGCTTCAGATTTTATAAAAACAAATTAGCTTTGTAGTGGTTTCAAATGCATAGCAGTCAAGCCATACATAAATCAGCTCAACTACCAAATACATCTTAAGTGTGAGATGCATTTTAGCTGGAATTCTATAAGAAGCCTTTCAGGTAAGAATTAGGGTCTACCTATCTATGTTTTAGAATTTAGGCTTAGTTTGATGCATTAAAAAAGGTGTATCAGAGATTGTATGTTAGAGAAATAGATTAATAACATTAATCTATTGAACTGAAATTCTTAGCAAAAGTAGTGCATTCAATCAGTGTGCTTTAATCATTAATAAACTGGATTAGGATTGAAAAGATACAGGTTCAAGACTGCCTTTAGCCATGAAAATATGCTCCAACATTTTGGATCTCTCATTCACACTCTGCCAAACTTAATCCACAAGTTTATTATGCCAATACAATGAAGGGAGATCCCCATTTAAATCACTTTGAGTTCCAGTTGTCAGGATATTTACCTAGAGATTGAATACTTGATATAAATTAGAATTTAATTTCAGTCATATACCACTTAAGTCCATAACTAAACTGTAAAAATTAGAGTATCTTGTGGAATATTGTTGCAAAACTAATAATGCAGTTTAAATCTTTTGTAGATTGATATAGATCTCTGTAAACCTAACCCTTGCCAAAATGGAGCTCAGTGTTATGATCTGAGAGAAGACTATTATTGTGCTTGCTCTGATGATTACGATGGAAAGAACTGCTCTCACCTCAAGGATCACTGTAAAAATAACTCTTGTAAAGGTACTGTTTTGTCCTGTGAAATGTTGATTGTGTAGCCAAATGTACAAAATCTTACAATAATAGAATTCTTTCAGGAAAAATCATGTTCAGTGATTTTTCTTAATTAGTATTACAGATTTTAACAATATGAAGGACAAACTTAAATCCATGTAAATTTGATTTTTTTAAAATAAAATCAATAGAAGAAGAAAGGGAAATAATAAGCCTTAGTCCTTCCATAGAAAGTAAATATACTGTACAAGCTGAACATGAATTATTTTACTTATCCATAAAGGATCTGTAGATCATTTTTTCTTAGATAAAATTGAGGTAACTTGTTCTTACCTTTTTTGCATTATCAAACTTGGTTCCTAGCAGTATATTGAATTTTGTTTTGAGTGTCAGTGAAATAGACAATAGTAGTGAATCACATTCTCTGTTTTTTGCTAGCCTCAGAAAACTGGGAACTATTTAGAGCAGATTTAAAAGCTCATACATAGAGTAAATTCTGATACAGTTCAAAGTTCCTTCATATGACAATGGTTAGCCAATTACTATTTTATAAGAGCATTATATGTCATATACTTAGTACTAGCAAATAATATTTAGAATCTTATCTGCTCTCTAATCCATGCAAGGATGTGTCACAAAGAGACTTTTTTGTTGGTTTTCTGCTAAATATTAGTGCAACTTAAATATGAAGACAATGAAATATTTTGTGTCAGAATTAAGAAACCACAGGTTTATGATGGCCTTCTCTCCTAGAGAGTAGCTTATATGCATAATTTCTCTTATTTTTAGTAATAGACAGCTGCACAATAGAAGTCTTCACAAATGCTACTCAGAATGGCATTCGTTTAATCTCGTCCAGTGTATGTGGGCCTCATGGACGCTGCATCAGTCAACCAGGAGGAAATTTTACATGTGCCTGTGAAAAAGGCTTTACTGGAGCATACTGTCATGAAAGTATGTAAAAAATATTATTAAAAAACATTGCTCAAGTACTTGGGCTTAATTTAGAAAACATTATTTCTTAACTGTTTAAAATGATTCATAATAGGATTTAGAGGATTTAAGTTGAAGACTTGATCATGAATGACTATTTCTATGAATAGGGAGATGGGCAGGTGTCTCTGCACAAATAGCTCACTCTTGTTCTTTCTCAGTGATACCAAGGTTTTGTTCAAAAAAGCACTATGTAGTGAAATGTACATTGCATGGATATAGGATATAGATGAATAGGCACAGAAAATTGTAGATCTATACTACTCTGTATATAAGATCTCCAATGTTTATGAATAGATCAGAATCTTCTGGTTGATTTTTGGCCAGAATTTCCAGCTTGTCTTGGCTTTACAGCAGCAATGATAAAATCCTTCCTGAATGAAGAGAGCTCAGAGTGAAATAAGAAACAGAGCAGCTTGGTATCTGGTTTCCTGGCCCACGACCTGCTATTTTATACTTGGCCACATATGATAAATAAGTTTTGTAGTAACACTTTTAAGAGACAAAAATAGCATTTATAATCTGATTCTTGTTCTGTAACAAACTAACATTTTTCAGATTATTAAAAAACCCACAAAGTAATAAAGATTTCACAAAGCAAGAGCCCACTTATATAGCATCTTAAACGTAGCTAGTTTTTAGACTGTTTAAATAAACATTGTTACATGATAGCTTTTTGACTGAAAGAAAAAGAAATCAAGTCAGACTTATCTCATTGGAGTAGAAAAGCAAAACTCAACACATTGATCTCAGTTAAGCACCAGATTAATTTAGAAAGGATCTTTTGGGGTACAATATTATTTGAAACTAATGGAACATTTGTTCCTCACATTAATTTCATGTTTGTTTTATGCCTATTAATTTTGAGCGATTATTGAAGAATTTTGTTTAAGGTGTTTCTGTTTCTTCCAAACAGTCACTGTAAAACAAACAGATAGTAATCTAGTAATTTTGTATTATTGTACTTTAGATATTGATGACTGTCTTGAAAAACCCTGCAAGAATGGTGGAACTTGCATAGACGAAGTCAATGATTTCAGATGTTTCTGTCGGAATGGCTGGGAAGGAAAATTGTGTGACATTAGTGAGTATAGCTGAATATTAATATATTTAAGTTAGCCATTGAAATCTTTTCATCCCTTGTAGTATTTAGGGATTTTATTTATGATAGTGAAAAAAAAATTTGGGTTTGTATTCTTAATTTTCAAGCACATGTCATGATATGTTATAACTAGTTTAGTTTATATTTAAAGATGCGTAAGAACAACTGGGGGAAGAAATATAAAGAAGGATTTAAAGACTATAAAAATTAGATAAGAATGTGCATTTTTAAGAAGAAAAACCATTCGTCTATTATATGATTATATATCCTAAAAATAATCATGTATCAAACATGCTTTAAAACATTTATTAAAGTTAAAGATCAATAAAAGTCAACCAAAATAAAAAAAATTATCAAACAAAGCTGACAAGAATTTCTAGTTAATCTGAGACAGTCAATCTTATGTTGAAAACCAGTCAGACAGAGTTTGATATTTTAAAATCTCACACTAAGCAAAACTTAAATTTTGGATGGTTATATGTTCTTGTTCTGATTAGTTTGTGCAGGGATGGGATTCTACCAGTTCAGCCCTGTTTGGGCGAACTGATAGTTACAAGCGATGATTTGACCCCGCCCATCTGCCCCTGCCTATTCTGCAAAGCGCGCACTCATCAAACCAGTTGTTACACTGGTTGAATCACACCCCTGAGTTTGTGACTAATATACTTGTCTCAAGTCAACAATTCTCAAAATAGAAATTTCAAATAAATTTTGCATCAATAAAAATGATAGCATTTTGTTGCGAATCTTCACTCAGTCTTTTTTATAATAGGCTGTTTATTTTGTGAACTTTTGTTGTATAGAGTAGTTGGCTTTGAATAACCATGTGAATAGTGAGGACTTGAAACTGGTCCTTTTTCGCTCTCATCCAGTATCTTTATACTATAAAGATATAAGTATTTCAGTTTGGTTTTAACTTAATATACTTTACAAATCCAGCAGTTGTTATTTGTTCAGTGCAGTTTAATTAACAGAATTTGGAGTTGCATCATACAGATTAAGTTGTTACCCACATTAATTTACTCAAAGTTATCCAGGGATCTATAGCATTAATGAGATTAGATTAAGTTTCATTTAATGGATTGTTCTTTATTTATGAAGATTCTTTTCACAAATATTTTTTGTTCAATTCTTTATGAATTTTGCAGATTTTAATGACTGCTCACCAAATCCATGTCACAACGGAGGCCAGTGCATTGATTTAGAGAATGACTTCTATTGTGCATGCAAAAATGGCTGGAAGGGGAAAACATGCCATTCAAGTAAGTGTGTTGTAGGTAGTTTGCTGCTTAAAATATTCAAAAGTTGAAAATTTTTAAGAATTACAAAAAAATTGTGATAAAAAAGTAATCTACAATTAAGTCTAACAAATGAAACAATCTGAATATAGGGAAGAGTATAATAAAATACCAAATTATAAATTATAGCTTCTATATAGTCATCATTTAAAATTAAAATTTATAAAATAATGCCATTTGAAATGATTTTCACAGATTATTTTATTTAGAAAGGGCAATGCAGCGTAATAGTGCTTCACATCAGTTAATCACAAAATAGTGCTTCATATAGTAGGAGCACTTGACTAGCACCTCTCTGCAGCTCCTTAAAACAGTTCCATATTTTCCTGGGATTATGCAGCTGCCATACATAGCTACAGCATCATCCCAAGAAGAGAGGTGTTCTTTTCTTTGAATGTGTGAAGCACTGCACCCCTGAAATAGAAAGTTTAGTTGAATTCTAATAGGTCTAATAGTGTACATAATCCCATGTAACAAAAAATATCCCTACCTTCTATAACAATAAATTCTATAGTATATTTGATAGGCTGCTTTAATTTGTTTCTGTAATATTTTAGGTAAGTACCAGTGTGATGCAAATACTTGTACAAATGGAGGAACATGTTATGATGATGGTGACACTTTTCGATGCTCTTGTCCTCCAGAATGGAAAGGAAGCACTTGCAATATTGGTAAGTGTTTAATCTTATATTGTCTCTAAATCGAGAGAATGAATTGGCTGAGACGCTAATATAAATCATCTATTCTTTCTGTGATCTAGAAAAAGTCTTGTTATGTAGAACAGTGTACTAGTGTTGATTATATTTGAGGGGCTGTTTTGATATAAAAATGAAGGGGGGGAGCGGAAATTGAGCTGGTTATCCTCCATTAAGGTAGAATTGAATAATCAGTCGTAAGGATACCAATCCTTTTTTGTGGCTCCAAAGCTCTTTTAATTGTCATTATTCCAAATGAAAGGTATCATTTCTTACTATTTTGAGGCAGGAAATGTATAAAAATCCAACTCCATCTTGTCTTAATTATTTTATTTTATTTGCTTCATTATTTTCTAATTGAAGTTTTTCATATTTTTATGCTTTCAGCCTCCCAGAATTGGATGGGTGCCAAATATATAAATATAGAGGGAGGGAGGGAGGGAGGGAGGGAGGGAGGGAAGGAAGGAAGGAAGGAAGGAAGGGAGGAAGGGAGGGAGGGAGGGAGGAGAAAAAAAAAGAAAAGTTCTAAAATAGGGTCTAACAGTTTTTAAAAACAAACGCAACATACACAGAGAGATTAGATTAAAATGATTGTAACAATGTAGATTCTTATTTGGCATGTCAGTTTATATTATGAATGAAAGTCCCTGTGATTAGAAAAAAACCTTTTTTAAAAAAAAATCTATTATAGCTAAGAACAGCAGCTGTATTCCTAATCCTTGTTTGAATGGTGGAACTTGTGTTGGCAGTGGAGATTCCTTTTCTTGCATTTGTAAAGAAGGTTGGGAAGGACGCACATGTACCCAGAGTAAGTGTAAATATTGTTTGTATTAATGTTCTTAGTCTTGTAGCTTACTCAAGATAATTTATTATGATGGATGTTAAAGAGTAGAGTTTTGTACTCAAAGTTTTTTACATATTGAATTAAACATTTTATGAAAAAAGCTTAGTTGAATATTATATTTGAGTATTTTATTAGCATTTTGATACCTCGTACTGAGGTTTTTTAGGAGTGGTTGAGCTTGTTTTTGACTCAAGACAAAACTTGCTTAAAATTTTATATCTTGGTCTAAATCTTCTAATTTTGCATTGAAATTATTTTAATAAACTGTTGATTTGGGTTTTTTTTTGTAAAGTAGGAACAGTGATGATTGTTAGCATTATTCAATGTAAATGGTAGATAAGAGAGTTGACTTCGTTATGAATTATATTGTACTGTGGTTCTTCATTGTGGCATAACATTTTGTTATGCTAATTGGTGCAAAGATAAAGGTACCATAATCTCTGCCAGTTATTTATTGGAAAGCAACAAGAGAATATTCCTACCTTAATGGTATGAATAGTCTGATGTACACTTAGATCTGCTTCCCCAAGTCAATACTTTCTCATTTTGTCATATCTCATCATTTCTATCTACTATGTTGAATAAATATGCTGGGCAGGGCTCATAAGCAAAGGGAGCATTTGAAGAATCCCAGTTGTGGAAGAACTGATTAAAAACCTCTAGAAGTCATCTCAAATACTTTTGTGGCCAGTGTGCTAAGGTCAAAAACAAACTTGGATTTCTTGTAAAATTTTTGTATGTACTGTACCTATAAAGTAGGGCTAGAAAATCTACTTTGAGGGTTGAAATCTTTATTTATTAATAATATTAAAATGTTTAACTTCTAAAACTACTTTTTTCTAAATTCTGATATTGAAAACAAGTCCAACTAGAGGCAAAGAATGAGGCTTGGGAAGAAATGAGTTTTACATAAGCTCATATATTGGCCTGAGACTGAGCAGACCCAGACTCAAGTCCCTCTTTAACTGTGAAACTAACTTGGACCAGTAACAAACTCTTAAGCCAACATCCTTCGCCTCTTGTAATGAAGATAACAGATAATAAGAGTTGGAAGGGGCCTTGTAGGTCATCTAGTCCAACCCCCCGCCCAAGCAGGAGACCCTACACCATTTCTGACAAATGGCAGTCCAATCTCTTCTTGAAAGTCTCAAGTGATGACGCTCCCACAACTTCCAAGGGCAAGCTGTTCCATTGGTTGATTGTTCTCACTGTAAGAAAGTTTCACCTTATTTCTAGGTTAAGAAAGAGAGAATCAACTTAGAGTCCCCAGAGAAAAATTGGAATATAAATCTAGCAAACAAGGGTTTTAACTCCCATCATCCAGTTTTATGTTTCAATATGAAAAAGAATTTCCTGTTTCTATATTTAACAATGCACTGGTATTATTTCATCAGAACACTTTCTTGTAGCTTTAGAATTGATACTACTGTGATTACATATAAAAATAAATTGGCCTATAGGCATAGAATTGCCATTACTATCATAGGTTGTTGGGGGGAAATTTTTTGTACATACTGTACAAAAACTTTTGTACATGCACAAAAATTAGATGAAATTGCTTAGATATAGTCTACATTTAATACCATTTATAGACTTCAGATGCATAATTATTTCACTTTTCTCTTTTTAGATATTAATGATTGCAATCCACACCCATGGTGAGTATTCAGTGATCATTCTTTTTCAAAATACCCTAATACAGCAATAAAAATTAATTATCTTGATTTAAAATCTTCTCATCCATCTTAAGCAATTGTGCTGAGGTTACCAAATGAACTTTCCTATACTTATTTACTAACTGATTTCTACTTCTAAGAAATCTGTTTTATTAGATTGGTAGCTGCAAATTTTTTGTGAAGGCAAATTAGCTCAATAGACAACCCAATTTAAAATAGAATTATTTGGATCTAGTTATTCGATGCCCAGATTTAGAATGGAAGAGGAAGTAGGAAAAAGGTAATTGTTGTTCCTACCTCTGGAATATGATCCCTTGAAACTTGGGCTTGACTTCCCTTCTTCCCCCAGTCACTTAACCTTTCTGTTGAATATGAAATCTTTAAGGCACCCTTCATTCCAGATTTTAATTATCAGTTTATTTTAGTACTTATTTAATTATTATTTTAAGCTTGCATTTCTAACTTTGCAATTTTTATTTTTTTAATTTTATTAACTACCGTACTTTGTGTACCTATCCACAACAGAACATGCTATAAATTAAAGAAAGATAACAATCTTAGTAGTGATAAATATTGATATAATACCAGTGCAGATTTTTATAATACATATAGTCTGCGACTTATGACCATAATACTTTGTAGTAATTGTTAAGTGAAGCTGTGGCTATTCACCAATTCCGTTTTCCCCAATGGGCATTTTTTACCGGAAACCAGAAGTAATCACTGGAAACTGGCAAAAAAACAGCTGACTCTGGGCTACTACAAATAGCCATAAAGGTGGGCCAATTGCCAAGTGCCAAAAATTCAATCGTATGACCATGGGGATAGTGTGCGACAGTCATAACTTCAAAAACATAAATAACTATTGGAAAATAGTTAAATGACCAGTCATAAGTTGCAAACTACCTGTATCTGTGAAAACCTAACGTAGTATTTCACTCCCTCAGACACTGATAATTCCAGATATGTTGAATGCAGCTTCCAATTATATTTGGAATGCAATTATATTATTAATATATTATTATATTATTTGTTAAAGTTATCAGGGAATTGTAATTTAATTTAATTGGAAGTAATCAAGTTAGGGAGGTTATTCTAAATTGTTCCAAAAATTCTTATATCCATTTTGATCTAACCATTGATTTAGAACCCAAAAAGGATCTATAGTCATTTAAATAAATTTTATTTTCTCTGTTTGAAGCTATAGGTTACATTTGTATAATTCAGTGAAGCGATAGCTTGCTTATACATGACGAGAAAGCAAGCAAGATTTTTCATGTCTAAATTTTCTACAATTAAAAAACAAGCTTATGTATTTCACACAGTGTAAAAGACTAGAGTAGGTACCCTTGCTGCAAATAACATAAAAAGATTGTGAATCTTGATTCATTAGCTTTTAAGGCAAGAAGCGCAGGCCATTGTTTATACCTTTTATATAATATTGGTTTTGAAGAGAGATATAAGTGCAAGCATGTGAGTGTAAATAGTCCTAGGTATGGGTTTATCATGTGTTCAATTTTTCATTCAGTTTCTATTCTACCTTTTGGAACATCCATCCTTCTATGGCCACTTACAAAGGAACTGATAAAATTGTAAATAATTGTATATATAAATGAGGGCAATACATTTGCTTTTTCTACTATCACACAGTATTAAGCTTACTCTGAAAAAAGTGTTCTGTTTGATAAGTCTCTTTGGATTTCATGTTTATTTATAATAATTTGGGTTGTGTATATAGTAATGTATTTATCATAGTTCTACCTCAGTATTAGCTTGCCTCTTTGCAAATTTCCTTTTTAACTTTTCTGGTTTTCTCCATCAGCATTAAATGCTTAAATACATAATTGAACATTTTCTTCCAGCTTTATCTACATAGCTTTACATGCAGTATTTTTCCAGATTTTTGAGAAAATATTTCTTACTTGCATCTTCATTATTAGAGTTCCCCAATGTCCCGTTATGGGTCAGTACTCTTGATTGTGTGCCATTAAGTCATTGTCAACACTAACCCTAACCACAAAAATGAACACTTTTTAAACGGCTTTTTCATACCTTTCTCAGTTCCTTGAGGTTACAGAATTTACTAAATTGTACAATTTAATATAATTGCATTCAAAACATTCTGTTTGTTAAGTCATTAAATTTTAAAACTTCATATCCTTTGAAGTAATCTAAATCATGTGACTGGATTAGTTACCATTGAATTATATAGTCACATTACTAAAATGTCTTTTACATTTGAAATAATAAAAAAATCTATATTCCTATAAAATGTAATGTACTTGCCTATTTTTTTCCTCCACTTTAATAGAATTTAGGGAGTTTAAATCAAAGTTGTTATTACCCATTATTAACATTCTTTATATGCTCCTATGTCCTTTGCTCAGTGTGATTGAAGATTTAATTAACTAAGTTTAAATTAACAAATTAAGAAAACACAAATGTTTTATTAAATAGGCATACATTGTACATCAACTATACTACTTGAATTTTGCAATGTTGACTAATAATACAGTGACTATGGATAGAAATAAATTTGAATTTCAGCACATTATTTTATACAAAAACTAATGTTCTCTCAACTTGAAAAACTGTTGACAGCCTTCATTGCAATGATAGATTTATCATTTTTACAGTTACAATGGAGGCATCTGTGTTGATGGTGTGAATTGGTTTCGTTGTGAATGTGCACCTGGGTTTGCTGGTCCTGACTGCAGAATTAGTAAGTATCTGTATAGGAAAAGACTGAAAAATTCACACGTGTCATATCTTACCCTTACCCAGACATTAAGTCAGCTATATCTCAAATAATGAAGCAGCAACCAATTGAATTCATTGATGCTGATGTTTATCTTACAAAATGGTGTTCCCTTAGTTATTAGAAAGAATCCTTTTATAAATAACCTTTGATAAATTATAATATATATTTTATAAATGCAATTGTAAATAAAGTGGTTTAAATTGTATTTATCTGCTATTTCTAAACAAATGTATGATACTAGTATATCCATTCAGAAACTTTAAAAGATAATTTCTATATTCAACTCAAGTATGTTGTTTATATAATTGTTTATTATTACTGTAGATTTCTCTATATATTTCTTCACTATGGTATTTATGACTTATACATGGATTATGAACCTCTGCAAAGACCATTCAGAATATTCCAGAATTAAGATGGTCAGAACCTTTTCCTGTTCTTAATTTAAATTCTGTTTCTTTTAAATTATTTTTCAACTTCCATAGTAATGACCATATGTTATTTGCAGTTCAAATCTTTCCATTTTTTTTTTACTAATTACAATTTTCTCTCAGCTGTCCTTTCTGTGTTTATATTGGGATACACACCTCTTAAAATATTTCTCCCCTGTTTTGGGACCAAAAGCTTCAGATAGCTTCTACTCTAAAAACTTGTTTATGGCCTTACTAAGGTCTTGAGAAGCCCTGATCTTTTAGTAACACACCAATCATGAAATATTACTTTAAATTGCTACACTGTATTTTACATCAAGTATGACTATTAGCACTTATCATTTTACTTGTCATTTCTTGCCAGCATACTATATTAACTATAGAAGAGAATATATGTAGCTCAGCTTAGAATTGTGGAATCCTTGGCGCTCTGTTACAGACATTTCATTATCTGACTATGGTTGTCCCAAAGGTACTTTTCAAAAAGCAGCTGGACTTCCTTGATTGTTTTTTTCTTGAAATTTCTTGAAAATGTTTCACTTCTGATCCAAGAATTGAAGAAGCTTCTTGGATGAGTAGTGAAAAGTTTTCAAGGAAAAACAACAAAGCCCAGTTGCCTTTTGAACAGCACCTTTGGGATTAACTGACTAGGTAACACCTTCAGTGCTAGAAGGGAGTGAGTTTTTGTATCTGTTTTTATACAATAGCTTTCCTTGTCAACGTTGGTGGAGGTATTGTTTTCTTCTTGGCAGGTTTTTTTTTTTGTTTACTGCTTGATTGTTAGCCTGAATGGTTGTTTCTTGATTTGGGTTCATTGCTTGTTTGTTTAGTTGTTAATCCCTGTTTATCTGTGTGTTGATAGCTGCTGAGGAGGTATCAGGTCTTTTTGTTTTTTATTTTACTTACTTATATTTTACATTTCTGAACTGCCCATCTCCCTCAAAGAGGGGTTGTGGGCCGTGTACAATAAAGCATCAAAATATAAAATATATAAAAATTAAAATGTTAGAATCTTAGAATTTTTTTTAATTAAAAGTTATAAATGTTTTCAAGAAGGTAAGAATAATTACAACCTGTTAAATTAGTAAGACAAAGAGAGAGCTCTTAATTGCACCAACAAACTCCACAACTGTGTACTCCTTTGGGATCCCCACTCAAGGTAGCAGATCTCTGATTTACAGCAGAGTTCCCCAACTTTTCTGGGTTGGCAGTCCAGAGGCGGAGGGGCAGGTGCCTTTACGCACACATGCTAGCGCAAATGGGAGGGGTACACATGAGCATTGACCAGACACTCACACAGCCTGGTGGCCAGCAGGTCGCAATCAAATAGTGGCCCCACATGTTGGGAACCCTTGATTTACAGAATCTGCCACCACCAAGTAATCTAGAATTTTGAGTTCTAAGAAGTTCTAGATGACCTGGTGGTGGCATCTGGTCCAGCCCATGTTAGATTCAAGGAAACATCATACTTATGCACAAAGGTACAGAATCCAAGTTTCCATCCATGATACCCGTCTCCCAAAGGTGGAGAAGCTCTCTGGGATTCAAGAGGTTGATTGGGTTTTCCTCTTAAGCACCTTTCTCTCCATTTTATCATCATAGAAAATTCTTAATGTTTAAAACAAAATTCAGCTTTTTGGGATTAGAAAGACAGAAAGTGTAGTAGGCAAGAAGAAGGCCTATTTTATGGCCAAGCATTATTTCTTTGAAAGTAGTGTTATTTTTTATTCACTTTCTGAAATGTAAAAGAAACCTGGCAAATGTATTAAATGCAAAAGTATATTGGGATGAAGTGCAACTATTTGAAACTGCTTGTCATTTTCAATTAGAGCTAATGGTGGTCTTGAGTGCTTTTTATTTTGCCTGAATGGTTCAAATGTATATGGAAACTGCAGTGGCAAAGGTCTATTTAATCTAAAGGGGGGTTGTGTTCTTGATAGAATTCAGAAACCTTCATCTGGCAAATATCATTCATCCCTCATCATTAACCTGATTTGTGAGCTTCTTTTAATAGAGCAGTTCAAATAATCTCACAGAATCTTTTGCTCTCCTTTTGCTCTCCTTGAAGTAATTAATTAAGTACTCTAATATCTATGAATCAGTGACACCATTATAAAGAATAGTTGTTTGATATAATGGGTTCTTTCATTATTTATGAATACAAATAATATATCCTATTAGGTATCAGTTGGTATCACAATTATTTCACTTTCAGATCCATAGTTTCGTAACTGAAGAGGAAATAGTGGGTAGAATATCTTAGAGCAGAGATGAATAACAATTATTTGCTTGGAAATCATGTTTCCTCCTACCGTGTCAGGGATTAACATGGATGTGGCGAGTAACATAATAAATTGGAGTAGATAGAGCTAATAATTTTGGGTTCCTTTCTTTTTTTTTATAGATTGGGGTGATTGCCTCTTAACCTATTACCAGCAAACATGTTTTATTTTTGTTTTAAACTTAAGCTTTCTAATGCATAAAATACTTGTTTTGTCCCAAATCAGACAAAACTAATTCCTAGGATTTTTAGTCCCATTTACTCTAGACTCCCTATGAGGCAGAAATGATAGACTGTGTTTGGAGATACCTTGGCCAAGGCTTACTAAATTAAAAAGTACAGACAGAAATCTTAATTCCAGGTGGATACAAATGGGGTTCTGTGTATTCTGTATTTATGCATTCACAGATGACCAACTTCTATGACTATAATTAAAGTTTGATCCCATTTGGAGAGAGATTATATTTTGAACAGAATGCTCTTTCTGGAATGCTCAGCAATATTACTGCATTATATAAGAATTTCTGGCAACCTGTTTTTATTTGTGTTTGAACAAAAAGTCTCTGAACTTTCTTTACAGTTAAAAATAATTCTGACTTTTCTTAATTAGGCTTTTAAGTCCCAGAGTCTGAGTAAATATTACTCACTTGAGACAGTACTAATAATTTATAAATTTATATATTCCAATATTTACAAATAATTAAGATCAGTTAACTTTAAAAGCACAGCAAGAATGAGTATAGTTGCATTCAAAAACTGAATAGGGAATTAGAGAAGTTTTTTAAGAGTTTGAAATTAATTAAGATTAGAGAAAATTCAGTGACAATCTGATGCTAAAAAGTGTCTAGGAAAGAGGAGCTGAATAAACAATGAGAGATGTTGTAAAATTTATACTTAGAAGCAATGTGGGTTGGCACACAACATTCTTATTCTTATATTCAAATTTTGAAATAGCACAGTACAGATTTCTGAAAATTTAGTGATTGGTAAATACTGTTCTGTCTCTCACTCTCTCACACTTTAATTATCTCTCTTTTTGTACCTAAGAGTACTGGTTTCAAAAGAAAGCAGGTTAGGGTTCTCAGAGATTTATTCTTTGCCATAATTGAAACCCTACTGATTTTCTTAGGAGTTGGATTTTCAGTACTTTGTAATACTTACAAATAGTTGGATTCCATGTGGAGGAGGTGGTTAACTAAGTAAAACCAACTTTCACATTTTCTGCCTTAGTAAGATAGTCTCAAAGAAAATGGATGCCTGCTGAGAAATTTACCTGAGAAAGAAATTTTATAATGGTGAAAGAAGATAAATGATGGGAGGAACAAAATATAAAGAGGCATTTAAAAAAATAAAAGTTTCTTAGCATCAGATCTCTATATATAGTGGATTGTGGCACCCATCTTCTTCAGGCACTATAACTAAGTCATGCTGGCTCAATCTAATTCAATGCATCTCAAAGCCATAAGTTTTGAAAACAGCTGCTAATACAATATCTGAATACATTCTAGTAAAAGTTGCTAATATCAGTAACCACTCATGCACTGAGCACTTGTTTTTTTCTAAATCCCTTGAATTTTTCTTTTCTTTAGATATTGATGAATGCCAGTCCTCTCCTTGTGCTTATGGTGCTACTTGCATTGATGAAATAAATGGTTACAGGTGTACTTGTCCTGCTGGGCGAGCTGGAACAAGATGCCAAGAAGGTAATTTAAAGCTGTAAACTAAAATAAGAAATTAGATATTGAAGTTTACAACTTGCATATCAGTGATTGCCAGACATGATCTACAAATTGAACTTGGCATTTTCTTCCTATGTTAAAGTTACCTGTTCTTAAATTGTTGCCTTCCCTTCCCTTCTTTCTCCTTAGTTATAGGTTCTGGAAAATCTTGCTGGTTTAAAGGAAAGTCCTTTCCTCACAGGAGTAGATGGGATCAAGAATGCAACAGTTGCCATTGTCTGGATGGCCACATTGATTGTACCAAGGTAAATTTGCAGTGAATTCTTCTCCCACTTTAAACAATGACAAATGAATTTATTGATCCTTATGGCAACCTTCCTCGGAATGTTTTTAAAGTGAGAACTCTTTCAATGGCCAGAGATTTTTGGCTAGGGCTGATGAAACGATACTTTAAAATTGAGATCTTAAATTCATGGCTCTTGGACCACAGTGCAAGCCTCTAAACCATATTCTATCACTAGCAACATTGTTTAGGAGAAAGCAAGCTGTATATGGGGTATGCATCTCCTTATTGCAAGGACTAAACTACTTCTTACCTGTCAATTTCAGTGGGTGTTGCAAATAAAATGGGAGCAAGCTAGATGGACATAGACAAAATAATTTCAGCTTGCCACCCAAACAGCAAAAATATGTGATTGCCAGAAGTATAGCAGCAGCTTACTTGGCCCTGTGGATCCTCCCTCATGCTGAGATGAAATTGTTTTGTACCTGAACAGGGTTGGTAGAAGGATTGCTACATTTGTAAGACTACATCAAGGTGCCATCATAGCTAGGGCTAAGGCAGGCAAATAAGGAAGAGCAGGCTGCAGCCCTACCTCAAATGTGAAAATAGGAATATGCCCTGTCTGGGTACAGAACCACACTTTCATTCCATCTGTTTGGGTCCTTAAATCATAATACTGTAGTTCTATTGATTGTGTTATATGTTTAATAATTGTATTATTAAAAGTTTAAAGAGAACATAAAAACTAACACCGACGAATACAGAAAAGAAAGAGACGGATAGAAAGAAAAAAGAGGAAGGAAAAAAGACCTTCCAATTTCCTTTGTAGCAAATATAAGAATGCCTACAAAGGTATCTCTTGCTTTATGATTACAAAAAATACCACAACTATTTTTTTCTAATCATCAAATTAGTCATAACTGAATTTCTTAGTTTCCTGCACAAAATTCTATTAGGGGTTTCCAGTCAGCCATAAATGTACACACTGTGTTTTCTGTAATCAAAGAAGTCAGTCTAGCCATGTCTTCAAGTTCCATCATTTTCACTAATCATTCCTTTATTGTGGTAATGTCAGATCTTTCTACTTTTGAGCATATGGTAATCTCACTGTGGTTGTCATATATAAAAACAAAATTCCAAGGCTTTTTTCTAGCTGTTGGATCACAAAAAAAAGCTTCTGGTTTCATCATATAGGTAGTCCTAGTTTAACAAGTATCATTCATCCATCATTCAAAGTTACAATGGCACTGAAAAAGTGGTACTTGTGATCAGCTATCCCAGTACCCCTGCAGTCATGTAGTCATGTTTGGACACTTGGCAACTGACTCACACTTATGAAAATTGCAACATCATTTTTAACTTTCTCTGTAAGCTTCCCACAAGCAATGGGGAAGCCAGCAGGCAAAGTTGCAGGTACTGGCAAATCACTTGCACTCTCCCCCAACTGGCAGCAGCCACCTCCAGCCTTGCCTCACCATCCACCTATACACTCTCCTTGCCCAGCAACAACCCCACTGTATTCATGCCACAATGACCACTGACACATCCCCTGCCCAGCAACAGCCAGCGCCACCACACTCAACCTGCACTTTGTCAGCCACCCACACACTTTCACTTGCCCAGCAGCAACCATACCATACTTCACCACTGCTCGTGCACCTTCCCTTCCCCTGCCCAGCAGAGCTACCCCAACTGGGTTGGAGCCATATGTCACCAGCCCGCCTATGCACCATTTCAATTGCAATTACCATTATTAACTGAGGATTGCATGTAGATAAGAAACAAGGAAAAGGTAAGAGTATAACCCTAGAAAAACTTGTTTGAATGACATGAACAGACAGTGATAGGAATTAATTGTAAATCTCCTTTAGTGTTTCCTTTTATAGTCCATTGAAATCAATAAGTATGTATTAAATTCTAGGTATGGTGTGGAAAGAAATCTTGTTTGCTTACTAAACATGGGGGCCGTTCTAGTTACCAATGTCCTAGAGGCCAAGAATGCCAAGAAAATTCATACATCAAATGCTTCCAACCACCTTGCACTGACTGGGGAGAATGCAGTGAATCAGAACCTCTACCTGTTAACATCAAGTGCTTCCCTAATTCAGGCCACTTGGACAACAGCTGTGCAAGAATTACTCTGATTTTTAACAGAGATAAAGTACCCCAGGTAATATATTTAAGTTTTGTTAGATTTTGCTAGTGTTTCACACAGCGTTTTATTTTATAATTAATCACATTGCTAGCAAAATCCTAATAGTTATTAATTGGTATATATCACTTTCATCATTTCTGTTTACAGTTCTCTGCTTTGGAGGCAATGAGAGAGAAAGTTTTATTTTATTATGAAGTCTGTTGGTATTGTCTACTGATCTTTTTCTTAGGAAAATATTCCTGTTTGGTTATGTGGAATGTTAATATAGATCAGCTCCCTTTATAAAATCATTTTTTCTATGTGTGAAGGATTCCATGTGTCTTATTTAAGGTTGCTACCAGTTTTTAATATAAAAAATTTGATGTGTGGAAAAATAGTAAATATATAATCAGTTCCAATTTTGCTTCTGCTGCAAGTATTGGGAAATTATTTATATAGTCTTCCTGGAATATATCAGGACTTCAAAATTTCCAGAAATCTACTGGGAATGACCTTACTTGCACATCTTTTCAAAAATTGCCTGCTATTTGGCCTTTTGTAGAATGAGCTTTTTGGCAGGATAGGTTCTATTTGGTCAGCTGGTGTAGCTTCCTTGTGCTACCATTCCATCTGTATAAGTTGGAAAGGAAATGCATCAATTTTGGAAGCAGGCCCAATTTTACAAAGATTTTGGATTCCACCCTCATCACAATTTATTCTTTCATCACATTTTCCCATCCATGCCCACCATGGTCACTGAGTACATTTTGGGTGGAATTACTTTATAGATAATCCAATTTCTTAATAATTGAATTTCTTGTGATACTCAAGAGAGTAGAAGGCAAAACTCTGTGACAGGTGCATTTCTTGAAAATATTTTCTTTGTTGAATAATTGGAATCCTTTAGTGAGGAAAATACTGTGATTGAGAATTCTGGCATTTTTCATATATGCCGATTTTGATCAATTTAATCAACATCCTGATTCTGTGATAATGGAAACAACTTCCTGACTATCTTCCTGTGCCATTTTTAATGTACCTACACATTGATATAAAGTCTTCCCACAGTCTTCTTTTCTTCAAATGCAACAGCCTAAATTTCTTCCTCTTGCCCTTATAGAGGAAATGACATGTCTGTCACCATCCTCTGAACGTGTACTGACTCATCAGTATACTGGAAATGCAGTACCCCGTATTGTACTGTACATAGTATTCTGGATTTGATCTCACCAATGCAGAATAGAAGAGAATAAGACCTTTATGTATCTGATAATAGTCTTTCTTCTAATGCAGCCTAAAACTTCCATTAGTTGCAGTTGGCTTGTTGCTGACCAACACACAAGTTTTTTTTTTCCATTTTCAAGCCATGAATCCCTTCTTCTTATGCGTGTCCTATATTTTTTTTCACTAATACTTAATATTCCTCAAAGCCATGAACTCACTTTTGAAATGCTGGAAGTGTTGCCTTTTCTGTGCTCACATGGATAAGTAAGAAGGATCAGTAAGTGTCAGGTCTAATGCACTCTCTTGCATTTTGGATTTGGGCATCTGGCAGATAGTATATGTGTCAGAAGGAATAGTTTAGAATCATCTCCTTTCTTTTACTCTTCTTGGTGATTGGTAGTAAAGATTCAGTCCACCTGAATCATATGACAAAATTATAGCTTTTGTAGCTTGCTCTTGTTTTTAAAAGCATCTTCAAAGGAGGTTGAAAATGGTTACCAAGGCTATTCTGTTTCATATTAATTTTCTTTGTGATAGCAACTTTGCCAGCTATCTTCATTCTCTTCCTTTGTTGAAATTGAAGATTTCATATTACTGTGCTGTGTATGAGAAGTAGTGGCATTCACACTACAAGTAGTCCTCAACTTACGACCACAACTGAGCCCAAAATTTATGTTGTTAAGTGAGAAATTTGTTAACTGAATTTGCTCCATTTTAGAATTTTTCTCTCCATATTTGTTAAGTGAATCTCTGCAGTTCTTAAATTAGTCACATGGTTGTTAAGTAAATCTGGCTTCCCCATTGACTTTGCTTGTCAGAAGGTTGCAAAAGGGGGGAATCATGTGGCCCTGGGACACTGCAACAATCATAAATGTGAGTCAGTTGTCAAGCATCTGAATTTTGATCACCTGACCATGGGAATGCTGCAGTGGTCATAAATCACTTTTTTCCAGGCCATTGTATCTTTGAATGGTCACTAAATGAACTGTTGTAAGTTGAGGATTACCTGTATTATTTGGAAAGTATTTATTTTAAGGGAATTAGTTATAAGAATTATGCTTTGCCTCCAGTTCAGCAAACTTTACTTTCAGAATCTCCACCATCTACACTTCTTTATTTATAATTTGATCTGGTCTGATTTGATTTTCATCCCACTTTTATTAACAAAATGTGTTAATACAATGGTGAACACAATACTCCTTCCTCCTTTTTACCCCACAACAACCCTGTGAGGTGGATTGGTCTGAAAGAAGATGACTAGCCCCAAATCACCCAGCCAGTTTTCTAGATTACATCTCACAATCTCCTGCTTTCTAGGCCCGCATCTTTAACCACTAATATTTTGTTTTCTGGGAAAAGGGAAAAGGGTACATCTTCTTCAGATGACTACCAGAACCTCATTTCTGGCCACTATGTCTCCTTTTTGTTACACAGATAGGGAAAATAGAATGCATTTGTCAAAATGTCATGCACTTTAATTTTTATTTCTTGTTGTTACATTTTTCTCCTCACAGGGCACTACTGTTGAAAATGTATGCTCTGAAATAAGATATTTACCAGCAACTAGATCTGTTTCTCGTGAAAGAATATTGTTAGTGTTGTGTGACTTATCCTACTCCATCGAGAATGCAATGGAAGTTGCTGTTGTAAGTATTACATTTTTGTTAAATTAAAATGAATATCCTTTCTGGGTAATGCCAGGCTGTATTTTGCTTTGTAGATATAGTAGAGTTACCCAAAATTTGGATAATAAGCTGATTATTATTATTATATAATATATATCATATTGTTATGAGTGAACCTGTCCAAGAAAAGGGCAGAACGTTGAACAAAGAAAGAATGTAAGTGTTGGTATGACCCAGAAGGAGAAAGGAACTCTTGCTTCAGTGAGAGAGAATCCCTCAGATTCATGTAAAGTGAATGTTCATTCAGTTATTGAAGGCAGATGTGTGACTTATGCAAATAGAAATTGAGTGTGATTCAGTTTAAGAGATGAAAGAAAATGCAGAGATTGTGTGGGTGTTAGATTTGCTTGCAGCATGACTCTTTGCTATTTTAATTATTTGTCACCTGTTTTTAACTAATTTTGGTGCTAACCTGCTTTATATACCTTTTGTTCAAGGCCAAAAGATAGAAATGGAAGTATTTTTAGCATTTATAAAAATTATTCTAAATTTCACCATAAAACAATTGGGAATATATTGTTAGGTAGATATGGGGAGATCTATTGTAACTTAGAATAGTCGTTAAGTAACGGGTCATAAGTTGAGCACTACTTGTAATAGAATTGAATACCATAATTGGAATAATAAAATAACACAAAGAACTTAGTGTATCAAAACTTGGTCCTTTCATGGCTAAGACAATGGAAAAGCAAGGTTCTTATAATATCATAGGGTACTCATAAACCAGCTAGATGCTTCTCTGCTAAACTGTGTTTCTATTTACTACTTGAGCAATATAGGAGAAGTTCGATTTGCTTTTAATTAATAAAATACAATGGCAGGCTGACCTTTCCACTGGGTTCCACTAGGTTAGTCAGTGTACAAGACTAGAGGGTAAGTGAAAATTCCAATGACACTTGAGAAGTTTCCTTTCCAAAAAGTATCTACTAAAAAAAAAACAGATTGCCATTTGTCCATTATTTTGGATAGTGTTCATCCCATCTCCAGTCTTCCCTTTTTAGAGAAAATTGTTCATAGGTTGATTGTGCTGCAGCTTCAGAGCATAACCTTGAGGAAGTGGATTATCTAGACCTCTTTCATGTTTTAGTCCCTAGTGTGGGACTGAGACAGCATTAATCATGCTGATGGATGATCTCTGGAGAAGCACTGCACATAGTCACTCATGCTTTGGTCACCTCCCATATGAATTACTGCAGTGTGATCTACATAGGGATGTCCTTGAAGAACATCCAGGAGTTGCAGTTGATCCAGAATTCAGCAGTATAAGCAATTAGTAATTAAATATGGCCATGTTATATTTTCACTTTGCAACTGCAGGAGCTTCCAGTAGGCTTCTTAGTGCAATTCAGAATGCACTGTTTGGTCTATAAAGCTTTCATGGTATACAGTTGTGTTCTACCCTTTTCCAGTTGCCTCTGTCTGTCCCAAATCTGCCAGGAGAGATGTTCTAGGCCATATTGATAAGATAATAGCATTGTGTGCAACCCATGAAGCAGGGATGGGCTGCAAAAATTTTAGCAACTGGTTCTCTGCCTGGTTGCTGGGTGGGTGTGGTCTAGTCAGCCTCCTGCCCCATGGTGTTTTCACCCTCCCCAGGCTCTGGAGGTTTTTCTCAAGCCTTTGGGAGGGCCAAAATGGCCTCCGGAAATGGGCCCATTTTTCGCCCTCCCCAAGCCTCCACGCAGGCCCTGTACTTACCTGGCATCCGAAACAGGCTGTGTGGGGACTCAGGCCCTGTACTTACCTGGCATCCGAAACAGGCCGCGTGGGGGTGGGATTTGCGGGTTCGCTGAACTGTGCAGAATCTTAGCTAGAAGATCGCCTAAACCCATGCAAACCCGCAGCAGCCCACCCTTACCATGAAGCATATTTTTTTCTGTTGAGCCAGCTCTGTGGGACACCTTACTACATATTAGGCTAGCCTTGACCCTGTTAGCCTTTTTGAAAGCTGTTGAGCCCTAGCTATTTTTCCAGACATGGGGGTTGGGAAGTTAACTGAGCCTAGCTGGATTGGTTGCTGGTTTTCTCAGTTATATGTTGTCTATCCTTTCCTTTTGCTGCTTTTTATTTCATTTATTGTGCCTTTTAAAATTCTGTTAACTGACCAGAATAACATTTGCAAGATGGGAAGCTATATGAATCAGATTTTTCTTTTCTGGATGAACTAAAGTGCCTTGAATACCAGAAAGGTAATAAGATTAGTTTGGTCTAGAAACTAGGAAAAGTGGTTTGAAGGCACTGAAGACTGCTTGATGACATTGTTTTGGCCGAATATTGGTTGATCATTCTTAGCTAAGTTGCCCACTTCAAGTATGGTTGCATCTATTATAGTGTGAAGAAAGTTTGTGTTATATATGTATCAGATTATATCATTAATGCAACTATCTAGCTAGATAATACATCAAAAGCTTTTAAATGTTAATTCAGTTTAACTTGCTGTGCAAATAAGAAAACTTCAATATGTAACCAATTGAGTCAGTGAGGCTACTATAGAAATTGACTGGTTGAATGAATGAATGAATGAATGAATATGATTATTAGTATAAGAATATACCTAAGTATAGTACTATACTTATAAGTATTATATCAGTATAATACTTCCATATTATAACTGCCCACCTAGCAGTTTGAAAGAATGCAAATGCAAGTAAATCAATAAGTACTTCTTTGTTGGGAAGGTTGTTGGCCTTTGGTGTATAGCCATGCTGGCCATATGACGAAAATGTCTTCAAGCAACACCGGCTCCCTCGGCCAAAAAACACATAAGCACCACACCCTAGAGTTGGACACGACTGGAGAGGGAAACTTTTACCTTTTACCTTACTTTCATTTTGGCTTGAAACCAATCTTCATGATATAGCAGCCAACTGGAATTCTCAAGAATTCCATCATCATCAATCTCAAGAAAGTCGCTACTTTTAAATTTAAGTTTTCTGTTGTCTTTTCTTTCTAGTCTTTCATCTTGCATCAGGATGAGACGGATAATAGTCTCATACAGAATGCTGCCAATACTATAGTAAATGCGATTACAAGGCGGCAAAACAGCACAGTTATGCTTGCAGTAACAGAAGTCAAAGTAGAGACCATAGTAGTTGGGAATTCTTCTTCATCAGGTAAGATAAAAATATGCATTTGAGACAGAGTGCCTATCTCAGAATATACTGATTTCATAGTATAGGTACTACTTGTTTAGCAACTGCTTTGTTTAGCTACTGTTTGCAGTTACAATGGTAATGGAAAAGTAATTTTATGACTAACCCTTGCATTTACAACCTTTGCAGGTCAGTAAGGCAAAGGAAAATTGAAGTAACGTTGTCAGCATAATCATGGTTTCACTTAGCAACCACTTCCCTTAACCAACTTGTCAGTTTCAATTGTGGTCATTAAATAAGGACTATCTGTACTTGCAAATTGTTTCTCATTAAAAACAAAAAACAAAATTATTTACATAGAATGTAAAATAAAAATTGGCTATTGTGTTTAGTTTTTGTTTGGACATCTTTTAAGCACTGAGATTTGGTTTTGATTTTTTTTATGTTCTATAGTAGTGATGCTTATTTCCATCTTTCCTTTTTTATTGAAATGTGTTTACCCATATTCCTTCTGTACTTGCCAAAAGAAAGAAGGAATAAATTATAAATAGGAAATTGTCTAAGTACTAAAATAAATGCCTTTTCCACATGTTTAGCCAGATAACTTTCCACTTTAAATTTATTGGTTGTATTATGTTGTAGAAGTGAAGAATGCCCCCCTCCCCCAAATCATAATTATTTCACTCCTGTTCTGCAAGGAGCAGTGACAGGAATAACATTCCAGCCACTCTTCTTGGTGGGGGGGAAAGGGGGTTGGTTCAAAAAAATAATCCCAATATATTGCATTGAAAGACTGTTCTATGTTCAAATGTGTTTAAAATCGCTGTGTCATAAATGACTGACACAGGTATTTCAAATGACAAACAAATTAGATACATAGTGTAATACAGATTTCCATTTTCTTTTTTTAAATAACATCTTGACCATTAAGAAGTTCTATGTGCTCTTCTATTTTATACTGTATTTGTTCAGATAATGATAGATGTTTTGTGACTGTTGATAAATTGAAACACATTTAATGCCATCTCAAAGCAGTCCTTATTAAAAAATTCAATATAAATATAATAGTTGCTTTCTATGTCCTGACTCGTTAGTTTTACAAAACAATTCTTTAATTGAATGGCTTCACTGCAAATGGCGTTTACGATGCCTTTTAAAGATTTCATTTGCACTCCATGTAGTTTCAGGATTCCTTTTCTAAGTTGTGTTTGGTTTGCTTTCTAGATTATCTGGTTCCAATCCTTTGTGCAGTTTTTAGTATTGTATGGATAACCTGCATAATAATTTGTGTGTGGTGGACACGAAAAAGAAGAAAAGAGAGAGAAAGAAATCGCCCATCCAGAGAAGAGGCTACAAATAATCAGTGGGCACCTCTAAATCCTATTTGGAATCCTATAGATAGACCTTACAGTCATAAAGGCATTCATTATGAACAGAAAAATTTTATATCTCCTCAAAAAAGAACTTACGATGGGGTAGAGGAGTACACAGAGTATGAGGAGGAGGAGGAGGAAGAAGAAGAAGAAGAAAAAGAGGTTATGGAAATGGACAAATTCCTCTCTCAAAAACTCTCTAAACCTTTGACAACAAAGGTAGCAGTGGACTCATTAGAGAATAGTCCTGTTAAGAACACTCTTCAGACAACCAAAATGGACAACAGATCTGTAAAAAATGTGAACACAAAAAATCTTGAAGGTAGAAGAGACTAAATCTGTGTTTGGACCATGACTATATTACTTACGTTTTTAAAAAAAGGAGAAATTGGCATCTCCATTGTGCATAAAGGACTTAACTGTCTGAAGTCAAATATTCATAGTTACTTTATTTTGAATAAAAAAATTAAAATAATAAAATAAAAACTTTGTTTCTTTTAGCCCTGTATAAATTATTCAATGACTGTCAGATGATAGAGTAATCTTTGATAGTTGCTATTTTTGTAAATTTTACTTAGAATACACTTGTAAGGCAGAGGAGAGAAGTTTGTATTTTCAATTCATAAGGTTTATCACAGAATGCTCAACACTGTTTACAAAACAGAGAGAGGGTTGTTCTGTTTTGTTTTGCTTTTCTTTACTTGTACAACAGTGACTTGGAATCCTCCTGGTTGAGGACGTTGCTGAACTTAAGGAAGAAAACATGAAGTGTTCTTGTTAATATTTACTAAAAACTTCTCTCTACAAGTTTGTCCCCTTGAAAAAAAGATTGCCTTATTCTCTGAACAAAAAAAAAAATCTATAGAGATCTTTCAAACTGTGATTGGTTAGAAAAGGTGGCCTTTTTAATTTAATCTGTCAATTTGGTTTAATTACTTTAGAAATGCAGTATTGAAGCACATACCAAGTGCCTTGAAATATCATCTTTCTGTCTCAATAGCAACTGTCAAAGACTGCCATGCCCATCTAAGTTTACCACAAGAAGATATTTGGTTCTCTCGGACTGATACAGTTTATTTTCAGATTGTGCAAGTGCATTTTTGTAAATATGTATATATTTAAATGAATCACTTCTGTATATTTGAGTTAATAACTTAAAAATATTTTTGATCTTTTTAAATGTCATTCCTTTTTAATTTATGTCTCAGAAAGGGAAGTTTTATGGCAGTTTCTAAAAAAGATACAAAAACCTTATTTTGGTATTATGTTCATATTAGAAAATGATGTTACTATAATTAATGTTGGGAAACTGTTGGTCACTTTTTGTACTTTTTTTCAATGTATCGCAACCATTTCACATGTAAATAGATCCAAGGTGTTTCCTCGCATCTCAAGAACACAGAGTAAGTATCCTGTACAGCATAAAGATGACAGGACAATATTCTTTTTCTTGTGAATGTCTCTATTACATGTGGTATTGCTTTTTTGCATTTTTTAAAATACAGGCCTAATGAAGGGAACAATATTCTTCTCATTTTTTTGTTTGTTATGCTTATTCATGCTAGAAAACATGTTGGCAAACATGCTGGATCTAGGTGGTGCAGCAGAAACCTGCCAATTATCAATTAGCTCTGGGATTCTTTCCTTTATCCCTGATAACTAGTGTTTCTTCAAGTTTGATGGGGTGATGCCACTGAATTGTGTTTCCTGTCTCTGTGTCACTTCACTAGCTGCTACTTGTGGAGGCAGGTAAACCCACAGCACAGCAGCATCATGTCATGTGTTTGGGGTCGCTAGATGCATGTGGAGAGAATAGAGGCCTGCTCTACTCAGCTTTACGTTGGTTGTAACATCTGGTTCCATCTTACACGATGGAAAATCTCAGGAGAAATTGTTATTCTTAATAGAAAGCTTATGCATCATTTGTGGGGTTCTTTTCTTTTTTAAAAAAGGCTTTATTATTAAAGAAATGAGCTATACCTTTTTAATTACTGATAAAACCCTATGTTAAGTGGGCTATCCTATAATTGCAAAGGATACAAATATTTCAATGTCTTGGCCATTTTGGAACCACTTTTTTATACATGAACGCAGAAATTGTTTTGCAGAAACTTCTGTGCAGTACATTTTGTTTGACATGTTCTTGTGTAGTTTTCAGACGAAAACTATTTATTAAAGCATTTTATAACAATGTTAGTAGTTGAAATTTTTGCCCTGACTCTGCTTAAGTATTCAGAATGCTTTGGAATCTCTAATCACACCCAACTTTCTACTCCCACAGCTGCAGTGTCTTTTTTCTATGCAACTTAAAAGAGTTTTCTCAAAATTCAATTTTGTTGCCATTGTAATTTTATTTTGTATTGCAATACTGCTTTCTTCCAAAGCCTAATGAAACTATTTCCCTCATTATAGATATATATAACATTTGAAACAGTGCTTTTCAAATGTCTTCCTTATCACCTGTGGTGTTTTAGGTTTGGAAGGACAAGGGGAAAAACGGAAGGAATCTGAGCCTTCATGTCAAATATAAATGAAGTTTTTTTCTTGAATGCAAAGAAATTTTAGTAATCTGGATTCAGAACTTAAAAACAAAAAGAAAACTTATTACAGACTTCTTAGTTCAGAATTTTCCCAGCAATTATATCTTATTCTCCAGAATCACAAACTTATGCTGTCGATCTATCTCCCCCTCTCCCCCAAAATCCAGTCCAAATTGTTTTCCCATTAGGTATAGTAAATCCATTCCCCAATCAACTTAGATACATTGTCTTCCTTTTGGCCTTTTGTTGTTCTCTGTGTATGTTTATGTACTTTCATCAACCAGATTAATTAACCCTCAGGAGAGCAATAGACTTCAGTACTATTAATGAATCTTTGAAAACCTTTCTGCTTTGATTAGAAGGATTCTTATGTATTGTAGGCCTTCTCCTGGTTTTAATATTCCTGAAACTTTACCTCCTTGGGTAGATACAGGTTTGCTATGAAGCCTCCACCAGCTTTAAAGATAAATCCTATCAAAAACTGAATTAATAGTAATAACACAATTTCTACACCAATTGATTTTCAGTGCCCCAAATCTGCTAGATTCTTCACTTCCAGACTAGGACTCCAGAGCCATGTCTGTATCAACAAATAAATTGCATAACAGCATGTTTTCTTAGAGCCCAAAGAATTACTGTAGGCATTTAGTGTTTGGATCCATTCAGATATTTCTCACCCTCACCAGACACCTGTGCCTCTTGTGTGCAATATAATACCTTTTTAAAAAAAACTCATTTATTTATTAACCAAATTTTCTATCTCACAAAAAGTTATTCTGGGTGGCATATAGCAATCTGATATATATAAACAGTGTAAAAATGTAAGACTCAGTATTAAAAGATAAATATTATTAAAAGTAAAATACACAGGCAAAAATAGAGAATGAAAGTATCTACCTCAGCAATGAAAACATCTGGACATGTCCAGTTGCCAGGGAGTCCCCGGCCTGGTGGTATAATCAGATCTTGAGGGGCTTGAGGATTGTCAAAAGGGATGGAATTAATCTTAGTTCACGGAGAAGAATGTTCCATAAGAGAAGGCCTGTTGCCAAATGTACATCCCTAGTTGATGGTATACACAACATGCCCTGTCAGATCTAATAAGGTATAATGCAATTGGGGAGAAATGGACCTCTGCCATGAAAAGGTTTAAAGGTTAAACCAGTACCTTGAAATGGACCCAGAAGCAAATTAGCAGCCAATGCAACTTACAGTAATACTATAAGCACCCATAACCACCTGTGCCACTATATTCTGTACCAGCTGAAGCTTCCAGATATTCTTCAAGGGCAACCCCATGTGGAGCATATTACACTAGACCAAATTGGAGGTAATTGGGGCATGAGTGATTGTGAGAATGGCCTGCTGATCCAATAATGTGTAACTGGCACACAAGTGTACAAAGGCCCTCCTAGCCATGATTGCCACCTGCTCACTGTGCAGGAGATGTGCTCCCCAACTGCCCACCGGGTCTATGGCAATGCCACCCCAGGCAGCACCAAATATGGCATAGTTTTGAAACCAGTGGGCCTGAAAATCCAAAGCCACTCAGTCTTGCCAGGATTCAACTGAAGCCTGTTGTTCCCCATCCAGACCCTCACAGCCTCCAGTTACCAGGATAATACATTCACGCTTAAAGCTTACGTAGTTCCAATTGTTTTCTGCTTTTCTCAGTTGAGAGGATTTATACTGTATAGGATGAAGGATTATGTAGCCAGCAGGATTTTTAAACTAATGGGGGGATGAACTTCACCTCAGAACTCAAGCATATATTTTAAGGTTTCTGCTTAATAAAATCAAATGTGTCAGAGACGGTAGCGGGCTAAATTGCATGCAATGTAAAGTAGCCTTCCATGTTCCTTGGTCCTTTGGTATGATAGGTTATTTCATGATCCTCTTAATTGTGAAGTGGAATCTGGGATATCATTGCTAAATGAAAGCTTCATTTTCTTGAATTCTGAATACAATAGATTTTGACTATATCTTTTTCTCCCACGTTTTGGTATTTTAAGACAAGTTTGAGCAAGAACTGGTTTAGGAATGCTACATTGAAGAGCTTACAAAACCAGGAGGAACAGGATTACTAGAAGAGCAAATATCCAAAATGAGGAATGCTAACAAAACTATTATTCTCCTGCAGTTTATCTTGGGATGGGAACTCTCCTACTACTGCTGCTATTACTATCACTATCATTATTACTACTAAAACGAACAAAAAACCCTACAGTGATTTTAAAATGTACCTCATTGTTTTTAAAACCATCTCAATATCTGGATAATTTACTTATTGCACAGAACTGAATAGACTTTTTGATTTAAAACAATGTATTTGTTCAAATTAATTATAGTCAGACATTTAAGAAACAATCATAACTTATCACAGGAGATCTGTAGTAGAAGACCCTTATTTTGTCATTAACTACCAACATTTACATTTAATACATTAAAAGGAGGGTAGAGTTAATGTTCTCTTAAATTTAGGGATCTGGGAACTAAAATTTGATTATTTACAAATATATAATATACATAAAGCTTGCTTGTTAACTATGGCCAGATATTCAAGAAGTAACCCAAACTTACCACTAAAGAGCATGTATTTCCTGCCCTCCTCTATTAGAATCACATTTCTAAATCTTTGATTTTGCTTGACTCCCCTGAACTGTGCACTGTGATCTCTTTGCTCAGTTGCTCACACTGCTTAGGGAGAGGCAGTCAAATTTATGCAGGTAAACTAATCTGGCAGCCATTCTGTTCTGCCAGTCTTATGGAAGTTGTTCTTAGCAAAATATGGGCAATCAAATTCCAACTGGAGCATACTTTTTTTAAAGGACTGATGGAAGGTGACATATCAATCAGAAATATTTGAGAAGTTGCACCAAATGTCCCACCAAAGTATCTTGGAATAAAACAGGCTAGCATTTCTTTACAGAAATGTACATATAGAATCCAAATACATGAACTGGTATAATGTATAGGATATCTATACCACAGAAAATGCATTGTACCTTGTATCTTATTCAAGAAGCAACCAAACATCAGAGCAATATTAAAATATGAAGTTTTTCATAATTTAAACTACAGTCTCAATCACCACTATCTTCCCCATGACTACTTCAATCTGTTTTCTGAAAAATGTGATCCTAAAGGGGTGTACAATGTACTTTTTCAGACTACGTGGATCAACCCCCATAATTTCTTTAACAAAGGAGGGATGATATGTTTATATGGAAACTAAAATGTTATGTGATCCTAGTATTATAAGACTGATACACTTTACAATAACTTAGTAGCTAGTCATCCACTTAATTTAAAAAACTAATTGGCTAGGAAAACTGGACACAATTTTATCTATATTGTTTAATATTGATCATTGACCAAACAAACAAACAATATTTAATATTTGAATGAGAAGGGATTGTTTATAGTTGACTTGGAACCTGCATCCAATTTCCCAAGACCACCCATAGGCCAATTTGAGTCAGTTTTACAGTGGTCTTCAAAAAGACAGTGGCATCTTATCCTGCGCTAACATCTAGCTATCGCTTGTATTTTGCCAAATCTCTTTCTTTAAATGGCTTCATAGTTCTGCTTCTGGAAGAACAGTCTTGCTTTAGCAGAGGCAACTAAGTGCAAGGGTATATTTGATCAGAAATTGACATTGTCTGTTGTCCAAATTTAGGCAGAGAAGCTCAGAGATACTGTGGCAGATCTGCTTAGTTTTAATGGCACCTATGGTGGCATATAGTGCACTTTTATCTCCTTGTGGGTCTCATCATACACAGATGCACTTTAGATGTTTCAGCCTCTGGAGAGTTTCATCTCTTTTTTCAGTATCACTTCGCTAAAGGGCTGAAGTGAAGGTTCTTCACAGTCACATAGGGCAAACCAGCAACTTCATGATGTAAAAATAACAATTGTGCACCTGGAGTGATCTACAGATGAGGCAGCCTGACAGAATAGCTTCTCACCAATTTCTGCAACACTTTTCAGCTAGTATATTAGGGACATAGCACATTTCAATAAGCTGCTCATTCTGAGAATGTAAAATATTAGGAAAGTTACATGAACTACTCATGCAACAAGAAAGACAGCAGCTTAACTAAAGCTTATACAGTGTACTATAATAACTGGGTTGCACAACATTATCAAGACCAAACAAACTACTTTATGACCTTGTATGCTATATAAATCCATCCAAAGAACATTTAATTTTCTTCTTGAGTTTCCTGTACATGCACAGAGAACATTACTAGAATATTGCGATGTCCACTTAAGAACACAAAAAGAGAACCAGTTGGATCTACTGATTAAGGCACCAGGCTAGAAACCAGGACTGTGAGTACTAGTCCTGTCTTATGCATGAAAGATGGCTGAGTGACTTTGGGCCAGTCACTTTCTTACAGCCCAATTCATATCACAAGGTGGTTGTGGGAAAAATTGTGAGGAAGAAATGTATATTTGCCACCTTGAGTTATTTATAAAAATGATAAAGGTGGGATAAAAGACCTTTTAAAAAGAATTACATGGGGAATATTTGAAAGTTCACTGATTTTAAAGTTTTTCTTTGAAATTGTATATTAATAAATCAGTTAGCAACCCAACAGATCTCTAATTGTATTATATAAACTTTGATTTTTTTCAAAGGAAAACTGGGTAAATATTCTTTTAGAATACAAAAGATACTCTTATTTCTATGGAGATTCTGAGTCAGCTAGGTCATGGTTGTCTCAAAGGTGCTTTTTCAAAAGGCAACTGAACTGTGTTATTTCCTTGAGGAAGAAGTTTCACTTCTCATCCAAGGAGCTTCATTAGTTCTGACTGGACGGTGGTGCAAAGATTCCTTCCATACATATCCCATCCAGTCAAAACTGATGAAGCTTCTTGGATGAGAAGTGAAATGTCTTATTCTTCTTCCCCAAGTAAAAAAAAAAAAGCACAATCCAGTTGTCTTTTGAAAAAGCACCTTTGAGACATGTTCTTATTTCAGAAAACTTAACTTTACTGAAATACTTAGATTTGATACAACGCTTTGGTTTATCTTAAAAAGCTAACAGATTCATATACTAAAATAGAAAGTTTAAAAAAATCCTAGAAATCAGTAGTCACATTCTTCCACGTTGCCAGGAAAACAACACTGATGTATATATGAAACATAAGGGCTAATATCTGATACGAAGTATTATCTTTTATCATTAAACAATCAATAGTTGCACATTTTTTAAAAATCCATTATTAAACTTTTTTGAAAAAGTTTTGTATTTTTATAACAAAAACAACAAACAAAACCATCTTTCAATTATTAAACTGCTATACAGCCCATCTTGCCGATTATATTTTGTACAATTTATGAAGCATTTTGTTTTGTTTTATTTTTTCTAATGTTTTGGTTTTCATGTTGAATATTTATTTTGTTTATAAAATTTATTGGCTGCCCATCTTACCACCCTAACCATAAAAAATTATACATAAACATATATAAATTAATACTTGTAAACATTATGATCAAATTTACAGATGGGGAGGGTGGAGGCAGGGACAATATTATTCAGAATCGTTTTATTCAAAGTTAAAATAATGGAACTCTTCTCTGCAGTGCTTCTGATTTTATCACCAAAAGATGTAGCATAAAGAAACATAGCTATTTTAATGATCTGCAAAAGGTGTTCTGGATGCAATCCCACATGTTCCAAATAATCTTTTGGAGACTGACTCCAAAGCACAGCTTTTAACAAATAAAGTTATTTGTGCATCTTGATTTCTTTTTTTTCTTTTAGAAAAATCTCTAAAATGATGTTTCTCTGCCTACAGGGGCTTATTTTTGTATTTTTAATTCATGCCTATCTTTTGAAATTAAAGTATTTAACTCTAACAATGATGTACAAAATGCATATTAAGATGCTACATAATTAGGAATACGCGTAACCAGATACTTTATGGATTTGTAATTAGAAATGCACCAGGTGTAGCAATAATTACATGTTTTGGTCTTCAGTATCTATATTCCTCAACCAGAAGGCCTTTTCTAGGTAAGAATTATGGAAAATGAATAAGAGATCATCACATTAAGGAAGTTATGCTAGTTATTGGAGATGTTTTCCAAATGAAAGGGAGACCAAGGAGTTACAAATGGAATTGAGAGTTGGCTGAGTGGTATAAGTGATCAAGACAAATAGTATTTAGTATTTGGAAAATGTATCCTTCCAATGCTATTTGTAAACTAATTCAACATTGGAAAACATACCTATTTGTTAAGTCTAAGAAATCTGCTCAGCAAGGCAAGTTGCACTGAAATCTCTGCTAGTTCAGCGTATATAGACGTCTGTTTAAGAAATTAGTTACAAAACAAGCTTATAGAAGTCTATGTTCAATTTCTCTGCAAAGTCATTATCACTAAGCTTTTAAAGATCTTGGGAGGCTCATCTGTTTTAGCTATAAACTGTTCTTCCTCCTCCATTATTCATTAGTGCTGATGGAGGAGAAGCAGCAACCGGGAATGAGTGAGCGGGGGTAGGCAGAGAGTGCAGAGAGCATATGGCTTTCAGGCTGGAGAACAAAGAGAATTGTGGCCTTGGACTCCTCAGGTAGCATCCAACTTGCATTACTA